GGCTTCTTGTTTGCTAGTATTCCCAGTGCAAGGACAGGATTAAACGGATGGAGGAGAGCTTTGCTGACCCCACCAACAAGAGCAGAAAGCGAGACTTGGGAGGGAAGGACCCATCGGGACCTGAGCTGCTAAAGAAGATTGAGCAGGTAACATCACTTATCGCCTCACAAGCTCTCCCCCTGTGACTGAACTCTTTTAGAAAAAACAAATGATATCTTTTATTGCATCATGCATTGGAGCATGCTTTGGTGGCACTGCTTCATTTCCATGCCCCACAGGGAGCCACTGAGCAGACCTTCATGGTCGAGGCAGCCAGGCCGGCCAAGCAGCTGCAGACCTGACTGCAGCTCCACCAGTGACTGCCAAAGGAGGCTTAGGTCCAATATAAAAACCAATCATCTCAGGGCAACTCCTGTAGGGCTTATGTAGGGAAGGTAAAGGAATGGAATGAGCAACTGAACTGGTTTTGTAGATATTTTTGCCTGTCCCCCTGTAGTGGCACAGTCCATACAGTCCACACCCAATGCAGGGTCCCCCCCTGTATTTAGTGTTTGGGAGGATTCACAGGGTAACAGCAAGCTGGGAGCAGTACACACCTAAGATCTCCTTTTGAAACCCAGTTTGTAAGGATTTACCATGAACACTTTGGCATGAATTACTTGAGCTTTTTGCTTTACTGTCCCATATTTCTTGACAGGAGGCAGCTCTGCATAGCCCAGCAGGCTACAACACAGCCAGCTAACACCAACCCATACATTAAAAAGCCAAGTTTTTTGGAGTCGTGAGAGAAGTTTAAATGTTCTCTCTCAATCTCCTTGTGTTTTTAAAGTCTTTCTAGTTATACACTACTTTCTTTTTCAGTCTTTAGAGTCCATACTTTTATTTTTAGCAGCAGGAGGGAAAAAAGTAGTATTTAAAGCAAGAGCTGAAACCTCCTCATTATGGTATGACTCAAGGAATCAGAAATTTAAAACAAACAAGCAAAAAACCAAAAGAAATCACTAGAAAAAAAATCATTGCTTTCAAGAAAAATCCCAGCAAGGCATTAATAAGGCTGGTGTAACCCCCTGTGCCTCAAAACGGCCTGGTCTGATATGCAAGAACTGTACAACTGACAGCAACAAATTGAACTAACTTTGGCCTGATACGTGACAGAGAGGGGGGAGACTTTGAGAAAAGTGATGGTGCAGCGATTATTTATGGCTGTTCACGGGTGTTATTTCAGCAGCTCCCAAAGCAGTCACAGGAACACCTTGTGCTGCACCTTCCCCTGCCGTTTACCTCCACCTTGAAATACTCCTTCTCTCTGCAGCTGGAGGTGGAGCTGGTGCGGAAGGAGGAGAAGCTGCTGGAGACAGATTTTCTCCACGAGCACGTTTCCCGGCTGACGGAGAGAATCCGAGCCACGGCAGAGAGCGGGAGGCAGGACACGCTGCTCTTGGCTAAAAGGGTAAGAAGGGCATTGCTGGCTCTGCTCGCCAGCCTGTACCAACTGAAATAGGATCTGGGCAAGAGGTAAGATGACTCACTCACAAATTACAAAAGTGGCTGGAAACAGTGATAGATAAATCACATGTTAGTCTTCAGAAATGATACACATTTAGTAGTAACGGCAGGACAGATAAACCAAAAGCAGTAGGTGAGTGTATTTGCTTTTTGAAAGAAAGCTGCACCGTAAGTGCTGCCTTTCATCAGAATACAGAATTAGTTATTTCTCAGGTAGGTGCTTAGAAACTTAGTGGAATCCACCTTTTGCACGTGGACTTACCAGCCCTTCCACATCAAAGGCTAAAAACAAACAGGGAAGAGCCAGGTAAGTTCTACTCAAACAGAAGATAAAATTGATATCTGGCTTAATGTTTCTTTGTTATTTTGGTAGGGACAGCCACACAGGAAAGAAATACAGTTTTCATTAGTTACTTTTATATAATTATAGCTATTTCCTTTAAACTGCCTACTAACAACTGTAATGTTGTTTGGGGTAAAGCAAAAATCCTCTCGCCTCCACCTTCTTAGTGAAAGGCTTAGGCTGGAGAGCTGGGCAGAGAAGAACCTAATGAGGTTCAACAAGGGCAAATGTAAGGTCTTGCACCTGGGGAGGAAGAACCCCAGGTACCAACAGAGGTTAGGGGTGGAACTTCTAGAAAGCACTACTGAGGAGAAAGATCTGGGAGTCCTGGTGGATGGCAGGATCTCCATGAGCCAGCAATGGCAATTCCATTGCCAAGAGGGCCAATGGAATCCTGGGCTGCGTAGGGAAGAATGTGGCCAGTAAGTCGAGGGAAGTCATTCTCCCCCTCTACTCTGCACTGATGAGGTCACAACTGGAATACTGTGTCCAGTTCTGGGCTCCCCAGTTCAAGAGAGACAGGGAACTACTGGAATGAGTCCAATGTAGGGCAACCTAAGATGATTAAGGGATTGGAGCATCTCCCTTATGAGGAAAGGCTCAAAGAGCTGCGGCTCTTTAACCTGGAGAAGAGAAGGCTGAGGGGAGACCTCATCTATGTTTACAGGTTTCCAAAGGGTGGGTTGAAGGATGATGGAGCCAGACTCTTTTCAGTGGTTCCCAGTGACAGGACGAGGGGCAACGGGCACAAGCTGGAACATGGGAAGTTCCATTCAAATACGAGGAAAAACTTTACAGTGAGGGTGGCAGAGCCCTGGAACAGGCTGCCCAGGGAGAGTGTGGAGTCCCCTTCTCTGGAGATCTTCAAGACCCACCTGGATGCAGTCCTGAGTGATGTGCTCTGGGCAACCCTGCTTTGGCAGGAGAGCTGGACTAGACGATCTCTAGAGGTCCCTTCCAACTCCAACAATTCCGTGATTCCGTGAACACCTGCCTAAGTGTCATGGCCAGGAAGTGTCTAAAGGGAAGCCCTCACTAAATCGTAGCTGTTACTCATTCCAGACAAACGAACTGCAGAGGAAGATAAAGGCCAGGACCCAGGAGATGATGGCCCTCATTGCAGAGCTGTCTATGAAACAAGCTCTCACCATTAAACTCCAGCAGGAAATGAGAGACAAAGAACAATTTTTTATGACTGTTTCGTCAAGGATAGATCAAGGCCTTCCCCCTCCCAAAGAAACAGAAAATGAGTGGTTGAAGGTATTACGCAACGAGAAGATGCAAAAAGAGGCAGCTGAAGCCAGAGCTAAAGTAAGTTTCTGTCATCCTTTGTGGTTAGATCTTCAGCCTTTCATTGCTCTTGCTTGTCTTCCTGAAGGAGCTGTGCTAACTCACTGCGTAGCTGCTCCATGACAACATGGAGCTCCAGGAGTCAGTGGAGATGATGGTATAGACAGAGACAACTCCAGAAGTGGTACATTATGGGTTTGTGGAGTTATAACTGTAGTCAGGCATAACACTTAGCACTGGCCAGTGAATCTTAAGGAGAGAATACACTAAAAGGAAGACTTACTTTCAATTATTAAAGTAATTTGGGTGACTTTGTTTTGAGGTGATGATGGGTGAGAGAGCCATCAGCAAAATGCTGCCTTCCATTGGATTTCATGGTAAAGCTGGAAAACCTGGGGTGCAGGGCTCAGGAAAAGTAAGTTCAGCACCTTCCACATACCCGATGCAGCAAACATCACATCAGAAGGAGGAAGGAATCAGGTTGCTGGGCCAGACACAGAGGGCAGGCAGGGCAGCACAGCAAAGAGTGCTTCAGATTCTACGCTGCTGGGTGCTGTGCCTCCTGGGTGCTGCTGGGTGCTGAGCAGGGAGCTCCCAGAGAAGAAAAAGTAGCATAAAACTGAGATGTGCATCCTGGGGGAACTCTTGCTGATGGGAAATGGTCAGGCATTGGAATAGGCTGCCCAGGGAGGGGGTTGAGTTACCACCCCTGGATGTGTTTAAGGGACGTTTAGATGGGGTACTGAGGGACATGGTGTAGGGGAGGACTTTGTAGAGTAGGGTAGATGGTTGGACTCGATGATCCCAAGGGTCTCTTCCAACCTGAACGATTCTATGATTCTATGAAATTGGCTTTGCTGGGTGAATCCTTTAGTTGATCGCTCCCCGGGAATCTGAAAGGTGCACAAAGCTGGGAGAGGAGTACACTCTCTGAACACTTAAAGAACTTGAAGTCAGACAGAACTGCTGCAGTAAAACTGGTTTAGATTAAGACACTTCCTTGTCGTTAACACTTCCCCTCATGCTGTGACTCAGTTTCCTCTCAGTGCTGTTGATACAAGCTCCCTGTATTCAGGAACAGCAACTGTCAGCGTAAATATAGCCATGCTTTGAAGCATCAGAACCATTATCTCGTTCCTGAGATGTTCTACGCACTCTTATTACAATTTTTATACATTCATCAAATCCATTTTCTTCACAAATAACGGAAGCACTACAGGCTCAAGCTGTGTACTATTTGAAAGGACAAACTGACATCTACACGGTCAATAACTCATGCTTTGCTTTCAATGGTTTCCTGGTTTGCTGAGGGTGGTGCCTTGGTTAGGCATTGGGTAGGGTGGCTCAGGAGCATAGGGAGGTGTGAGAGCCCATAGTGACTGAGCCCTCACGAGGTGTTTCTCTCACAGCGTGCTGCAGAAGAGGAAGCAGCGGCAGCGCCCGGCTGCGTCCACACGACGGCTGAGCAGCGCCCGACGGCCTACATCCCCGAGGACAGCTACAGCCTCCCGCTGCCGCGGCCCTACGGCGCTCACGCCCCCTTCAAACCGAGCCAGCCCAGCTCACACATGAGGCATTTCAGAAAACCCACCCTCAAGCCCATCGAAATCTGAAGAGACAGCAGGGGAGGCCACTGCCAGTTGCTGAATCTCTGGGGTCGACAGCATTGACACTGCGCTGAAGGAACGGCCGTTAAGTGTTTGGCCAGATTCCATATGGAAAATAAAGGTAGTTATTAATGCCAGAAACACAGGTAATTTGCCAGTCATACACATTCCCTTCCCCTGGCTCGGAGGAGCCTGGTATCCCAAATGCAGGCCAACATTTTAAAATGTTAAGAAAAACGAGTGATCATCCTGTGTTTATTTTTTTCCCAGGTGACATTTTATTGCATCTGATTATATTTTATAATACATTTATAATACTAAAAAGAAAAGGCTAGAAAATCTTCTCTTGTTATGAATATAATATGAACAAAGTCCCCAACACTTACACAAATACACCAACATGGCTTGCTGCAGTCTGGGATTGGAGCTTTCACTTGCCAGAAATATTATGATTACATCGAGGAAAAATATTTTCCCTCTGTGCAGTTACTGAGAAAGCTAAAACTCTTGCTCCACTGATGGCAATGACAAAGGAACCACCATGAACTGGCCGCGTCACTTCTAAGAACTGGATCTTTTCATTTCACTGGTTGGGAACAGGGAGCATCAGTGGGAACTGCTCAGAGAGAATATCAGAGGTTGCTATTGAAAACCTCCAAAATCTATCAATTTGTCAATAAGCTTCACTAGTTTAATAGTCGGAAACTTTGATAGAGTTGGTTTTAAATCCAATAAAGACTGCAGAAATCCTGCATGACAGAAGTTAAGATAGCAAACCACTAATACTATTTTAAATTAATGTCACAATTCAGAACTTTAACAAAAAAGCCCAACAAAACAAAACACAACACTGGGTCAGTTATTTATATATAAAAGTTGAAAATGAAGGAAAACCAAACCTCCATCATTTTGAATCTGAGGCTTGAACTGTAACATTAAAAGTTGTAAGGAAAGAATTAAGTAAAATTCTGTCCAAGTGACCATCAAGGTAAATTTCTAAAGAACTTCCTTATCTTGTATTGCTTACAATATATTATACGTATCTCAAAAACCAAACACAAAACCCTGCCATATGCACTTTGAGAAGATTATATTTTGTGCTAATTACAAAAGTGAACACATTAGAATCCAACTCCAAAGGCAGAAGTACCGTAACACACAAGCACCCCAAGGAATGAATACATTGTTACTGATGATATGCAGAGACCAATTCAACATTTGTCACTCTTACCTGTTTTACATAAATACAGCAAGAAAGCCTCTTATTAATCTACATTAGTAAACAGCTACCAGCTTCTTGTTGCTGTACAACACAACTGGACTATCTTTTTCAGGATTGTCTGTCTTGTTAAAATAATTGACATTAATACCAATTCTCACAGCGTGTTTTGATACCCACTGTAGTCCCACTCATTTAACACTTCAACACGAACCAATGAAACCACAGATCCCTTTCACTGAAAGCCTGGGTTTGTGTCAGATTCATTTCTCTAGGATTTATGTAGAAGTCAGTGATTTCAGCCTTAATATGTTACATCAAACAGTATTTTGAGTAGCTTATATCAGTAATGGTAACTGCACAAAACTGCAGATTATTCTGGAAACAACGTAACATTTAAGTTCATTTTAAACACAAAACACCCCCAGGTGGTAGCACCCTTCTGTGGGAATGCTTTGATGTCAGAGTTCCACAGGCAGCTTTCTTCAACAGCACGTTATTTCAGGAATATCTGAGGCCCAAAAGCATCATAGTGTGTTTGAGTGCTGTTTCCTCGACAAATCGTACATTTACATCGTCTTGTTTTTCATATGGATGCACACCTAGAAAAACATTGTCAGAAAGTTAGTATTTACAAAATCCCAAGTGAACCAAGATTTTAGCACAGTGGCTATACAGTATATAAAATGGACCAGGGCAGAGTCTCATATGCTGCTATATGGTTTAAACTCTCTTTCCTCCTCAAACAGGATAATATCCACACATGGACAATCCTGTTTTAGCCTTCAGGTCCTTATCCAGACTTTTTATTAATATAGACATAACCAGTGACGCACCTTGTTTTTTCAGTGGAATTCAAAATCTTCAGATGCCTCACTGTATCAAGCGAGCGCCCTAACCCATTTGAATTTATTTTCAAAAAGAGGACAGCATTGAAATAACAAACACCTGTTACTTCAGAGCACCTCCTCACCTAGTGACCTGGGTACTCTTTTTGGGGGTGGAAGAGGTTTTAGAGCTCAGTGGTAAGTATAGTCAGGACACGGCTGAGCGTGAGCAAAGTAACAATTCCTGGTTTTCCAAAGCACCCACTGACCATTACCTTGGTCCTCTATCTCTGCCAGCACGTTAGTCAGGTAGTTGAGTGGCAAAAACTCCACCGGGACGGAGAGTCTCTCGGGGACAGGCCTGTTGCACTGTAAGGGAGAAGGCTTCAGGTTACTGCACAGAGTCACATAGTGACAAATTGCCGTGTTGTCTTCAGCGTGTCACAGCCTACAGAAAGGTCAGGGATCTCAAGACTATCAAAGCAAATGATTTTTAAAAATGGCCTACATGCTCTTACCTGCCTGTTGCCCAGCTTCTCAAGCAAAAGTTTCACATATTTCCGTGCAATTAAATGAGCATTTATGGGATGATTCCAGAACTGGCGGACCTTTTGACCAAGAGCCTAGTAAGCAAAAAAAAAAAAAGAAAAACCCCAAAACTTTAAAACAAAGACAGGAACAGTGGAAATTTAGGAGGGGGAAAAGGAGGAAAAAAAGAAACAGAATCCAGGCTATAACATAGACTGCTTTGCTTTCAGACACTGATGACAGAAGCTAAGATGTCATTGTTTTTAGCCACCAAACCTTCCTTTTGCAGGCAGTAACTCAGAGATGACAACACACTCAGGAGGTGTGAGAAGCAGTCAAATCCTCGCTACTCGGTACCCACTGAGCTGCTCAGGAAGTTTCTATCAGTCTGTCCCACTTCACATGTTTACTTAAATATGAATTAAGGCTTAAAATGAGCGTTTATCCTTTACTGTGACTCTTTGGTTTAGCTCCATTCTTCTCCCAAAAATCAAGAGGTGCCCCGTTCCTCAGTGCTCCTCTCAGGCTCAGCCTAAGGAGTCCTACAAAAGCAGAGTGCCAACAGGGAGAGACACTGGGAGCACAGTTTGCATCCCACTATTTGGGGCACCATCCTGGGAACTGCTAACATTGAGTCACATTCCTAAAGGCAAGAGATTCAAACCCAGGTGTCTCAAAGCTTCCAATCCTAACCAATAAGCAACCAAACAGGAACACACGATGAAGTTAGCTCCACCTTCTGCCATCTTCCCCGTCCAGACCACCCCCCTTTCAGCTGTATTGCAGTATTCTCAATACTGAAAGTTCATTTAGGAAACACTGGACAGTTTCAATGGTACTTAAATACTTGCTTCTGATGCAACTGAAGTCATCTAGTGAATGTAACCTGCTCAAAATAGCCCGAGTCACCCCAAAGCATCCTTTTTGGCAAACAAACTATTCTCTGCATTTTTTCCCAAAGCTGTAAAGGGATACAATAAGGCACTGAGTCTACTGTGCGTAACGGGCAGTCCCTGTCCCCTGAAGCTCTGACAGCTCAGCCCCTGGCGTCAAAGCGCGGTTGGAATGGTGTTCCCCACCCACCAGGCCTGGGCTGAGAGCTCAGAGGCCCCACGCTGACCCTGGCTCACCAACCCCTGCCCAAAACAAGATACAGAGGACAAAGAGCGTCCTGTGGAGTTCTCCTTCCCTACCCCTTCTCAAAACTGCTGCCAAATAAAGAAGGCCTTGTTAGAGGAAACCAAAGCGGCACTTCTGGCCATCTGAACTATACATAACAGCCCACAGTGAGCAAACAATAAGCAACTTATGTTGAGAAAAGGCTATTTTCCAGCAAGGCATTCCCCAAGGGGGATCCCTGGCTTCCCTCTGCTCACGGAGATGTTGTGCTTCCTCCCCAGTGCTGTGGTCTGCACCCAGGACAAAAGGGGAAAAGCAGAAGTCAATCTCCCATTCTGTTGGAACTTTTAATGGAGCATCAGTAATTAGTTCCAGCATGTGGCTAAACGAGTCACTTTACCAATGGGCAAGGCTCCCCCCTTCAGAGGGGGAGATGTTATAGCTCAATCCCTGTCACAGTTGTATCATCACATTTTGCAGCTTTTACTGTACCAGCTTTTGAAGATTTTTTGATAGAACAAATAGAACCAAATGCAGAGGTCACAAGTGAGAAAAGCATTTGTAAAAATCACACACACACAAATAGCCTTCTTTAAACCCCATAAACCCATTATTTCTTTATGCAGATGAGAACCCAACAGAACAGCATCAGTCGTGTCCATTTGATTCCCGCAGGGCAATGGAGACATAAGGACAATTTAAGTTCCCAGGGTGCCCTTCAGGTCATGAGCAGCAGATGGAGAAACTGTGGAGGTTCAGGTTGTACCTGTGCCCTATTTGAATCCCACTGGCTTCCTCCCACTGGAGGAATTTCCTATTGATTCAAAAAAACAAATGACATACAAAGTTATTTGTTACCTCAGGAAGCCTCGTGACAATACTGAACTTCAGCTTCTCGTTCTCCTCACTGTCATCCAGATCTACAAGGGGAAAAAAACCCACCATCATTAGTGGTAACCACATACCTAAGACTTTCAACTTTCAATTAAGACATTCTGAATAAATATTATCTCTGTAATGACATTAAAATTTTAATGTTAATTAAGTGCTATTAGGAGTGCTATTTATATTGATACTTTTAATATATATTTGTACATAACTTCACCATTTTACGTAACAGTTTATACAGTAATTCAAACCTGTTTTGACTAAGTAGAACCCCCCATATTTAGAATATTTCCTTTACCAAGACCAGGCACAGACTAATACTGCACATTGGTGCCTTTTCTTGGACACCGGAAAATAGCACGTAACCAGGGCCCGTCGCTGGGGCTGTGATGAGATGTGTTACTGTTTGAGAGTTGGATCACGGGGCTGCTGTACCCCAGGAAACTCACACTACAGCTCTCTCTTCCTCCCTTCTGATGCTGAAAAGGCAATTAACCCGGGTGTGATGCCAGCTGTGCCTGCAGCTGCCAATCTGCCTCGCTCCCCATTTCCTTCCAAAGCCTTAGGCCCCTCGTGGTGACAGTATGTGTTCATACAGAATGGATTTTAACTCCCACCTTCAGGTAACCTTGATGATCTAGTCAGAAGACATTTACAGCCTCAATATTTACCAGAAATATTGGGATGCTGGGTCAGGTAGGCTTTTGTTTACTTACTTTGAATTTTCACTTCCTAGCACTGAATTTCCAGCTGTTTGCCAATCCCAGGCACTAGGATTGTCTGGTTCCAAACATAATTAAAGCAAAAGTTGAGGACTGAGTAACAGCCTGACTCCCTTACACGTATGCACGCACCTTCATGGAGTCACAGAAATCTCCCAACAAATTGTCCAATGACCTTCAGTATTCACTTTTCTGAGAAGTCTCGAGTGGAAAGATGATAAACTCAAATTCTCCCCAAACAGGTATTTCTTTGTCTACTACAGTAAGGCTCAATCATGTCGTCTGAGCCCTGACTTCCCCTTTCAGCTGGGCACTGCCACCAGGTACAGCCCTCGCTGAGGAAGCACTCTGGAGAAACCGAGCCTCCCGGGCAGCAAATCCTGTGCCAGGCTTTGAACTGGCTGAAGGGGCATCGCTCCCAGTTTTACCAGCTGGTAACAAACAGAACACGTGAAACTCCCTGTACCTTTCAGCAATTTCCTGACGCACGTTTCTGTCAGATGCAAGACTCCACTGTCAATGTAGTGCAGGAGGGTGTGCAGAGGCAGACAGCGGACACCGAGCCCCAAGTGCAGAGTGTGAAAACCTGTGAAAGACAAACTTGTTTGGTATAACAATATTATTATTTTTTCACTAAGTCTGTATTAGAGACTGGTGCTGCTCTACCTAAAGCCAACGCTCTTCTTCACTTCTGACCATTTCTAGTTGGTGAGGAAATCACTTCATCAAAAATCATGTGTCTTATTTAGGCATTCTTTAAGTCCTCTCAAGTACAATCCTTCAGAAAGAGGAAAGCCAAGAGGACTCCAAACAGTCACTAGAGTCATTAAACATCTCCAACTGCTGCCTTATATCTCAAATGTGCTATTAATTTGCCTTTTATCTCCTCATTCTGCCCAGTTAATCAAAACCTGAGGCCTCACCACCCTCAGTACGTGGCTGCCACCCACACATTCCCAGAGGCAGCATTAAGGCTTCAGCTTCTCACTTCACACCAGCCAGATGATGGCCTTGCATCACATGACATGGTTATGTGGAAGCATTTGCGCCCACGCAGTGCAAGTCTGAGGGACAACCTCATACCAAAAACAGTTTCAAAGACTAAAAACAGATCAGGAAATACAAACTAGAAAGATTCCAACAGAATCAGAAAGAATTAAGAAGTTAAGAAGTCTTTCCCTGACAAAAACAAGCGTTTTGAAAAGACTCTAAAACGATTACGAGGAACTCTAGGAAATGAAAGTCTGCTATTAAGATCAGCTCTTCCATCAAGGCTGGAGGGAATCCTCCCAGGAGAAAACTGAAAAATATTAGGACAACAGCCTGGGAAAAAACTTTTTTTGCTCCAGGACAGGATTTTCCCTTGTAGCCCATGACACTAAAGTGCAGCTAAGAAAAATACCTAAATGAAAGAAGTCTAAATCTTAGTTCTGAGCTAAAATTGTGCCCAAATGTTCTACTGGAAGCTGAAAACAGAGAACTAGACCTCTGATTTGTTGTCTCTATCTTGTTCTGAAAACGGAGAACTAGACCTCTGATTTGTTGTCTCTATTTATAGTAACTACTCAGTTTTGTTACATTTCACTTGCAGGTGTTTATGGAAGGTCTTCCCCTCTGTAACGGTCTTGAACAGATTTCAATTCTGCCCAAGTGAACTTGACACGTGCTGCAAGTAGTGCTCTGGTGGGAGGAATTCAGAGCATTGCTCTCCTCCATGTGCTGCAAGTAGTGCCCTTGTGGGAGGAATTCAGAGCATTGCTCTCCTCCCTCACGATTGATTCCAACAGCACAAAGCAGGACTCACCGGGGGGTAAAGGCAGGCACATGCCATTGGCAGCTTCCAGAATCCGACTCATGATGTGGAACACCGCAAACTCTGCTGCGCTTCCTCTCTCGTCACTGTATTTAACAAAGGAGCAATGTATTAGGAAATACCCCCACTCTCATGGAGACACAGTCCATTTGTTGTGCTACCCCTGCACTAAGTGTGTGCATTTGGGGTGAAGTGCCACAGGATGTTACCGTGTTTGATGAGGCACCTGTCACCCAACAGCACGAGCTGTTCACCTAAACATTGACACACAGTGTCTCTCTCCTGTCCCCTTCTCCTTCCCCCACTACTGCATCGTTAGGAGTCTCTCAGCAGCACCTGGTATCACCAGCAACCAGGGAAACATTCTGGGTGTTGGTATAAGTGACCTGGCTTTTGTAGGTGTTCAACACCCACCCACCACCCAGCCTGAGAGCACTGTGAGCTCAGCAACTTTGAACTCCAGCTGTAAAACAGCCTCTATGGTTAATATGGATGCTGGCTTAGAGAGGGCAGGCAGGAGCATTAACAAACAAGCAGATGACACTCATGTTGACATTCATAGCAGAATAAGCACTAACTGCTCAAGAGAGTAGTATTGTTGAAGACCAAAATTATTGTGCCCATGTTATAAAAGGCAGGCTGAAATCTTGAACAAACGACTGGCTCACAAGCAGAAGGTGCAGGAATGAAGCTGGTATCTCCTCCAAACTTCTTTCATTATTCGATGTACCAGATTCAGCTAAAACAAAAAAAGAAAAGACTGGATGTTTCTGGAAGCCTGTGTACAGGGGGCCCTTGGCTTCATTCATTTCACAAACCAGTTTATGTTAAAAACTTATCGTGAGAATCCTACTGAGACTTCAGTATTTATCTTTTTTTTTTCTTACCTAGGCTTCAAATGTAAAATTCATTAAAATTTGAATTGTAACAAAATTTCCCTATCCCAGAAATTTCAAGTAAGTGCTTCCAGCTCATCAAAGCATTGTGCAAAACATGCAGCATCTTAACACACTGTGCTTCTTGGGGACCAGCTGATCTCATGCTCTTGCATCAAATTCTCAAAGATTTATTTGCCATGAAAGCAAAACCTGCAGGTCCACGTGGCTGAGCATTTGGCAAGGAAAGGTCTCTAAGGCCCAGACAAAACTCAATTTGCTGAAAAAAAGTCTGCGGCAGGAATCAGAAATGCAGCCCTGGCAAGGAGGAAAGAGGAGACAGGCAAATGTCTCTCCTCCTCTGGTCAGTTTCTTTTTTGCCCACAGTGAAGTAAAGCAATCCCTTGGCCCGTGTTGTTGCTGCTTTGTGCTCCCAGGCTGATCTCCAGCACAGACCATCGGCACACACAAACCACAGCCCTCTTCTCACTTGGGCCTCCTGAGCTTCTGCAGCTGAGAGAGACAGCACGCATCAAAGAGCTGAAATAACTTCCTCCAGCCACCCCTCACAGTTGTCACGTGTAACCACTTCCATATCTCAGTAACAGAACTGAGACACTTCCCCTACCCCTTCTATCTCTGGGCCTCAAACCAAACTAATCCATCGGTCCCAGGAGCCTCTCAGGAAGCAAGTCTGACCCCCACTGTGCAGAGGGGTGTCACGAGAAGTTACAAACCCTTCTCCCCCCAAGATGGCCAGAAACCAGGAATCCTTTTCCCTCCTCATAGGCTCTGCCCCTTCCAACCTCTAACTTGTCACAGGCTCTGAGCAAGAAAGAAACAGGACACACAGGAGAAGTTCATACACAAAGGCCGTAACAGGAATATTGGTCTTCAGAAATGCTCCCCAGGCTACCTCAGCCAAGGTACCTCTACAAGGTACAAGGTACCTCTACCTTTTCTCTCCACCACTCCATCCAGCCTTGCACAGGTACCTGATGGAAAATACTAGGTGGTTATTCTGCATTTCCATACTTTCTGGATTCACTGGAAAGCTCCACTTTAATGCCCCTGGAGTATGGCAAGTTTCTCCACTTGCTTTCCAGGAAATAAGTGATTTCCAGTTTTCAGAGAAGGGTCACAAGAACCACACCTGCTGCCAGAACGACTTTCATCTCTGGCCAGCACACAAGGTGCAGCGAAGGCCTCTGCCTTGGGAGCTACAGCTGGGCCTGAAGATCGGTGTTGAGGTGAAGGGAAGCTTCTTACAAACTCCAGAATCACCTTATTATTTGTGCAACAAAAATTATTTTCATGGGTACGATACTCCAGAATCAATATTCTTTGCTTACAATTCAGCAAACTGTATGGCTCTCACAGGGTACAGAAAGACAACAACTTCTTAAGTCAATGTCGACCCTGCTCGTGACATGACACCCTCATCAATAGCACAACACGCTTTGGAAATCAGCCACAATGTAAATTGTAGAAAATACATAAAGAGAAGCCACGTCTCAAACTTTTTTTTCAGTATGTAACACACAGAACAACGTGCATGAGAGAAAAGAAACATTATCTGTTTTCTAGAGGGAGTGGAGGCAGCTCCCCTTCCAAGCCAGCAGTGGGTCTCTGGGGGAACCATGTTAAACCTGTATCTTCAAGGCAAAGCCATTTTTCATTTAATAACAAAGACATACAATATGAGGTTTTTCTGGGCAAGTATCAGAAGCCATTTCCCTTGGAGTGCTTTAAACTACTGAGAGAAAACACAATCAGTAGGGAGACAGTGGGTGCAGCTGAGCCTAGGCTGCCATTTGAGAGCGCCCTGCTGTCTCCAAACACAGCTACATTTGCAGGCAAGGGTGCTGAGCAGGCTGAAGGCCCACTAAAGTCATTTGGAACCACAAGTGCTCAGCTCCTGTGGCTGTTTCTATAGGAAAGTCGTGGAAGCAGCCAAAAAGAAGAATAAGGAGCAAAGGAGAAAAGGGAGTAAGACAGGCTCTTGCTGTCTTCCAGATTCCCTCCTGTGTGAGGGACCTCTCTTTCTGAGAAAACTCAAATGCAAATGGTGCCTTGTCTTGTGTTCCCCCGCAGCTGTGCCCACACCAGATGACAGCTAGCCACAGCCACCAGCCAAAAAGCTGCAGCCACTGCAGCGACTTCCAGAGAAATGTCAACATTCTGGTCTGTCTCCTTCTTGTGCCACAGGCTGGCTGGTCACTGCCTCCTCTTCCACTTGCTGTCAGGGCAGCAAGTGTCACTCTTTTCCCCCTTCCCTGCCCTGATGGAATGAGAAGAAGGAGAGAAACAGATATGGAGTAAAGCTAAGGTAAGAGCTTGCAGGAGAGAGAGAGAATATGGCCACGCAAACAATTCCTGCAGGGCAGACGGCATATGGACTGGTACTGGGGCTCTGCAGACCTTCTCACCAAGCAAGGGAATTCCCACTGAGGGATTTCACTCATGCTTCCCCATGTTACTTCTCTGTGTACAAATACACACAGTTCTGTCAGCAACCAGCCACCAGGCTGCTGTTTTATGACAAACTGAATGCTCCCATGTCTTGGCTACTGCAGCTTCAGCTGCAATTGATTTATACAGTGGCTACGCACCACGGAGCCCTCTCAGCCACTCCTTTGCTCCTGAATGGAATACTGTGAAAGCAGATAAGCAAAGAGTTTCCAGCCTGTTCCTATTTCCTTAGTTTCAGTAGCTCAGCTACATGCTGCCGATGCTACAGAAAACTGTTGGAAGAACCAGAACACTTCATTCCCTTGAAGAACTTCCAAACATTTGGGATAAAGATTCAAGATTTAAGAGTTTCTGACTAGAAGAATGGGAAACTGCAGCCTAACAACAAAATAACTTCTAAAGATTTCCAAACAGCACCTAAGATGCACCAGCCAGTGGGCAGAAGCAATTTTTGGAGACGTAGTATCTTTGTTCATAGTAGTTTTCCCAAGAACTAGAAGTCTGTAAATTGAGTTGATACAATTCTTGCTTTTAGTGATGTTAAAAAAAAAAATCCTAAAAGCTAAACGTTTGTTCATGGGGAGGGTTGAGATTTGTTTTGATTATAAGATTTAGCCTACAATAATTTAGTCTTGCAGATCAAGGCTGCACGGGTATTCTCATATTTTTTTATCTTAGCTTATATTAAGAATGAACAAATGATAACTGGAAAACGAACGAAAGGAGAACAACCGTTCCACTTCTGCTTATTTCAGTGCTGTCTTCAGGTACAAAGTTTTGGTTCATGCTGTACTGTTCCTATTTTAATCAGTCATTAGTTTTTATTTCCTTCCTACAAAGACACAGAACAGTCTGCCAATTACCAGTAAAACAGCTTGTCCAGCTACAGAGTGAGGCCTGAATAGCCAAGTCAGCAACCTCAGTGGAAGGTGCAGCAGTTCAGAGAACACTGCCATGTGTCCTCTGTCATCATTTGACAGCACGACTTCAGAAAAGATGCCGGCACCAGTAGCCTCAAGAAAGTTTCCTGAGATTTCCATCCCTAGAAAACAGCACTGAGAGGAGTCTCTGCTGATGAGGTGACAGGACTAGCACAAAGACAAATAAGTTGCCACGAGAGCTCTTGTGGACTCTGCGTTCTGCACTTGAAGGATTTCATGCTGAGACAGACAAGACCATAATTTCTGTGCACAACAGTTGCAGGTTTTACAGATTATTTTTTTTTTAAGTCTCAAGAGGATGAAAGACAGTATTAAGAATCTGGAAAGCAAGTTTTCACCTGTAGTTTATATGGATTTCTTCAGGCAAAACTATCTCCTGTTACACTCACAAAAAGCTCACTGACTTATATGGATTTCTTCAGGCAAAACTCTGTCTCCTGTTACACTCACAAAAAGCTCACTGAAGTCAGTGTGTAGGAGCAGCGATGTTTTACTTTTGTGCCATATTGGAGAGAAATCTTTTTTTTTTTTAATTTGTATTTCCCCTGATGGCACTTTCATTATTCAAAACATGCAGCAATGTATTCTACTGGAAACAAAACGGATCTAAAGACCATTCTTTCACGATAAGCACACATTTTCACTTCTGGGAGTAGTTCATATTTGTAGAAGCTGTAAAGGGAACTGTCTCGTCTGTATTCTGAGTGACCAATTAACTCTTTTTAATATTATTTAAGTATTATTATGTCCCTTATCAATATAAACAATCTTAAGCAGCAAAATAGGGTTAATCATCTTAAAAAACAATCTCCTCGCACCAAACATATGCTATAGACACACAAAATACATGCCCAAGGCCTTCCCCCACCCATCCCCGCCAAAATACATGCTTGCTCACAATAGTCAATGTGAAATCAAACTAACCAAGTTTGCAACATAATCCAAAACTATTTGGTCAATCTTCTTTCTTCCTACATACTGTAGATGTCTCATAAGGTGATCCTTTAGCTGAGCAACCATCTAGAAAAAAAAAATAAATCGACAATTCAGGGTCCTTATGGCATCTTCAAAAAGATGCAAAAGCTCCAGCAGGTGCAGGGCCTGACCACAGCAGAGCACTCCCCTGTTACAAAAGTCCCATTGGGAGTGAGATCCCGAGCTCCCATACAATCTTAGCAAATTCAACAGCACATTTGAATAGTCAAAATGGTTACTCGGTGCAAACTCAGCAAAACCAGTGTGAAGTTGAACTTTCAATGAGACTGAAGAGAAAAAGCTTACAGTTCTGGCATCTCTCTGGGTCAAGCCAAGTGAACAGGGTGAAAGAAGGATTTCAATATGAACATTGAATCCTGAGAATGTAAGTATTTATTACATACAAATAAACCTGAGAGATTGTACAACAGAGAAAACTGGCCTATACGTTCTTGGTTACTACCATGAACTGTGAGAACATCAGGGATTAATGGGAACTTCGGGTTAAATATTAATTATAAAGTCTTTAAGATCAGGTGGCTTTTAATCACGCAGTCCATGCCACTCCCTACTCTCTCCTCTCTGAAGTATTCTCTGACCTCTGATGTAGCTTCTGATAATAACTCAAGTCCACGCTGCTTCTTTCCTCAGAATTACTATGAAGTGCTATTTGTTTCAAAGCTCAGAGAAAAACCGAGGCAAATAAAATCTCTCCAGGAGTTTACAAGATTAATCTCAATGTCAGGAAAGCAATATAGGTATGAGGAAAGCATAGACAAAGGGCAGCAGTGACCTGCTTTTTGGACCTGTCTGAATAAGCTGCAGGAAAGGAACGTAGAGAAGCTTCAGAGAATGAGAACTGAGAACTTGGAAGCAAGGGAACAAGTCTGCAAAGAATGAAAGTTTGCCTTAGGCTTGAGAGGACAGAGTTGACATGCTCTGCTCAGATGCAGCACTGAAACCTTCCAGTGCACGCTGAAGAGTTCTATTTGGTTTTAATAGTAAGAGAACCAGAGATAAGTGAAGATGTGTATTTAGACAGAGAGTGCACAGGTAGGGATTTGAGATGGGATTTATTACCCAGAAGCATAAGGATGGTAGATCTTTTGGGGAGATCACCAGTGAAAACAGTGCAAAAGAGGGAGGGATCTCAGAATAGCCATAGCAGTCCCAGAAATGAGGTAGAAGGAAAATGAGACAGTAAAAAGATGTTAAAATGAGGAGCAAGAAGATCAGAGATCTTCTCTTTGAGGGCAGCAGTGGGTGGGGAATTCACCTATACATGTTTTAAGGATGTAAAGTAGCCCCCAAAAAACCTGACAGACTAAGAAGAACTCCAAGGAGGACAGAATAACAGTTTCTATCCAAAGAAAAGTTGTATTGAGAAAAAGCATTTTCACAAATGAGCTTTCCATTGCTGGTTTTCCCCCCTACACTCTATGCTATTATGACTATGAACTCTAAAACTTAGGAAAAACTGTGTGTGTTCCAGAGATACTCTGAGTGAGCTTCTACTCGACACTGGAACTTATAAGTTTACTCTTTACATGTGTTGAGGCTGTGCGTCCTCTAGTGCACGCTGTGACAAAAGCACATACCAGTCCCATCAGTAACTGCTGCTGATAATCCTCCTCTTGAAAGAGAGGGACTAGCCTTTCCTCTGAAATAAACAGAGCAAGAATCATTCAAGGACATGACACTATAGAAATACCATGAGACTTCAACCAGCTTCAAAAGTATTTAGAAACATACACAAACAAAGAGACATTGTTGTTTGATCTACTCACCTACAGAATTAAGACAGTGAAGAATCAAGGAGTGCATAAGAGAGCTGAGGAATGGAAAACAACCCTGCATCTGCTATATTGTCCCTCAAGTGCTCAACGTTGAGCATAGAGGAGCCCAAGCCTGTCACACCACTTTACACTTCATTTGTATCACCCTTTGCTTTGATATTTAAGTGAGAATTATCCCAGTGTGGTGATTCAGTAGAGCAAGGAGAACCTTCTGGTACCACCAGTGCAAATGCATGTGCTATTTAGATCTTGTCATTTACAAACAAACAAGTTGAAACAGCTGCATGGGTTTTCCAAGGAAATGGCTAGACAAAAAGGAAATACTCCACAGGATCACTTCCCACTTTCCTGGTTCTCTCCCGTGGTCTGACTGCTTCTGTTATTTACATTTGCAGACCACTATGGAAGGAGGTTATAGTATCTACTGAAATTTAATACCCTGTATTTCCTAATCAGTGCTTCCTGTCTAGTAACAGTAAAGGAAGAAAACAATCTTCTATTTCATCATTTTACAGACCCAAGTGCTAAATTTTTACAAAGTTCTTTCCAGCCATCTTTGCTCACCTTGAAATACATTTACTCCACCCCTCAGCAGCACAAAGACCTGCATTGCTTGATTTTAAAAGACGTGAAGAAAAATCTACAGGGAAGACTGATGCTTGTTACCAGCTGCCAGCTATCCAGAAGTTCTCTAGTATCAGTTAAACACCTGACTTCTTTATCAACAAGCACCTTTGGAAAACATGAACTTGAGGCTTGTGAACTTCATTCAAGGTCCCTCAAAGTCAGAGCCCACAGCAATAACCAGCAGTGGTGTGGGTGGCTGCTGTTAGGGGCTGGAAATGAATACACTGAAAATTCTTTGTAATAAAAGGAGTGAGCAGCATTTCAGAGCTCACACAGGCAGGGCACATAGAAGGCACCTGTGTGCGTACAGCAGGAACAAAATTTACTACTAAATTCAGTTTTACTTAGTTTTAACAGAGGAACTGAGCACCACAAAATCTCAAGTGTTCCTGCTTTCTTTACACCAGGATTTTTCCCCAGCCATAATCTCCTACCATACACAAGCTCTAGAGTTGCAGAGGCAGCTATAAGTGGACAAGACTCAATAATAATATGGTGTCATTGATACTCTGCTCCAGGAGAAAAATCCTGAAGAAGAAATCCTTAGGCAGACAAAGGTTTGCTGCTTGATCCAATACTAAATAGGAACTTTGTTTTCAAGGGTTTCTAGTCAGTATACGATCCTACCACTACTATTGGAGAGAAAGTGTTCCTCTAATTTAATAACTGCTCATCTTAATGCCTCAAACTCTTCAGTGCTGAAAACACATACAGTAATTTATTTTTAGCCAACAGCAGCTAGATAGAAATCTTCTAATAAACCTTACAGCAAAGGCCTACATCAAGGCAAGTTCTACTTACCAGAGTCCCAAGTGTCTAGATGAGAAAGCACCCTAGGGTTGGAAACAAAAATCAGCTTGTTTCATAGGCATTCCTCTAAAAGGATTCCATGAGGACATTAAAAAACTTAAATGACCCTTTGGTCTTTCAAAGACCGTGTGACTACATTTAGTAAAGATAATCAATAGTATTAAAAAAATTCTACCCATCTAGGTTGCAGAAAAGTAACTCTACACGTCTACCATAAATTCCCCAGCTCTAGAGGCCTGGATATCCCAGACATTGCTGTAGTGATTACAAGGATTCCAATAACTCATTTTCAGCTGGATAATTTTCTTCAAACTAAGATATCTAATTAGATATCTATTCAACTATTTCAATGGCACATTCAATCCTTCAACATACTTAAACAAAATAAAAAAGGTAAATATAATAGAAAACAGTACCTACTTTTTGGCATTTTCAAAAATATTCCTCAAATACGCTGTGGTTTTTCTCTCCTCTCTCTGGGTTGTAAACAAACAAAAATCCCCAAATGAACAAAGTAGAAGGCCAATTAAAATACTCTCTGATAATACTCAGATGAGAAACAAAGCTGGTTTTCCCTTGTGATGGAGATAATGCACAGTGGGGCTTCAACGCACCTTCTGACACTCACACACGCCTGACCTCCATGACAGTACACGTACGTGCAAGCTCTGCTTTTCTTTAGTTTCTCACATTATTTTAACAGAGTAAGATTTACAGGCAGTCACCTTATAAGTAAAATGACTTTGGCAAGCCTCTGGACTTATAATCAGATTCCCATTTCTTTATCCTCAAATTAAGAAAAAGAGGCCATCTCTTCCCGTGTTTGGCTTTGAAACATCCACTTGAGAAGCAGCTCTGGAGACAGTTTTGGTACATGCACATTTACCTCTTCTGAAAGGTTACGCCATTCCCTCCTGAGCACGTTGTTGTGGTAGTGCAAGTGTGGCTCTGCGTACTTCACACTCTCCAAATTCGAGTTGAGTTTCTCCCAGAAGCCTTTGGAGTTTTGGAACTGCAAAGCATTGCAGAGAAAGCGTGAATAGAGGCTGCACTCTTGAAGAAATACCTATTCACCCTCCCAGTAAGTGACTGGGAAGTACTGTGATTAATCTAGCTTCATAACAATCTTAAGTGAAAAAAGTTAAGCAGTTACACTATTTTTTTCCCCAGTACTTTTATTTCCTTGATTTGACGGCGGGGGTAGCACCTACTTAAGCCTGAGGTCAAGATTTGGTGCCTGTAATGCAGATACTTGCCACCTCAGGGTCCTTTGAAGTCCCTGGGAAGAAATGAGTACTTCTAGATCATAATTCATCTGACCTATTTCAGATGTTTGGGATGGGAAGAACTGCCCCACTGACTACACTGGCCATATTGTCTAGACTCCGGCTGACTGTAAAAGGAGCCTTAGGCAATGGACTTAAATGTAAATGTTTACATTTGGTCAAATAAATCTCATTCTGGGTTTCTAGTAGTTCCAAATAAAGAAACAGCACCATGACCCTGGCAGCTGCAGGCCGCCACTGTTTTCAGACTGCATCAGCACTTACATTGCAAACATCCCGTTGCCAACCTCAAGTAACAGCACCTCATCCCAGAAAAGAAACAAAATCCAAACATTTCCACAGCAATTCTAAAGCCTTTGACTCTAATGCTGAAATTAATTCAAACTCAGCTGTGAACAGACAGGAGGAAAAAAACCCAAACAAACACACACTGGTTTCCTGAGCTTGTTCTTGGACTGGGTATAAAGATTTGAAGCCGCTGTTTATAAAGGGCGAGTGATGTGATCATTGCTGAGGAAGAGATGAGATTAAGGCAATTCTTTTTGGCAGTTTAAAAAAAAAACACAAGAGATGGTACTAGCTGTTCTTGCCCCCTTTTATATACATTTACATTCTCATACAGACAATACAGTCGTGACATTTGAAGGAAGAGAAGATGGAGTTCACAATATTCCTTCATCTAGCATTAACGTGTCGGATTTTGCTCCCTCTCCCCTACTTTTCTACAATGACAACAACTTTAGAAGAAAACACCACAAGCCTTTAAAACCACTTCCTACTATAAACTACAATTTGCCAAGGAAAATAAATGGCAGAGACTCAATACTGCCAGCCACTTCCCTCTTGCTGCCAGTGCGGATCCTCACTTTATTGTTGTAGCTGCAGCAGAGAAAAATAAATCTCCTTTTTGCTTCATGTTAGTTATATTTAGCAGCTGGAAACCAGGAGCGCATATGGCACCATACGTCCACCCTGCTGGAGCTAACTAACAAGATCTACAGCCTGTTACTGCAGGATGCAGCATAGATGTTACCAATAGGAAATGAGAGCGATACCAAGACTTCAGCAGCGTAAGGGGATCATCTAGTGACCAATTCATGCAACTGCGACCGCACCAACGCTGCAAAATCACATCCAGCCACGCTGGGTTTTGTTTGATGCGTGGCAGGGAGGGGAGCAAGTTTCTCTCATTTATTGAGCCTGTGACAGGAAGCGGCAGACTTCACAATTAAAAGCAGACACCGCTGAAAACCTGCACTGTATTAGATCTCGTTAGAAGTCAAAAGTTTAAAATCAAGGACTATTTTAATTACATCTGTTCTTTCTTGAGGATCATCAGGGCAAGGACTAGAAAGAGAAGGCTTCTTCATCTTAGGTGGTGTTTATTTTGCAGACATTTCTAGAGAGTCAGGAACGAATACCTAAGCGTGAACACCTAGAAGACACTGTATTACCAGAAGCCAAAGCAAGGCCTCACCAGGTTGCAACCCATGAAAAGCCCTCGTGAAGCCTTTCGTAATTAGTGTTATTTTAACTGAAGACAAAGAGAGCTCTCTGCCCTACCCCCTGAAAGGATGCAGGGTGCCAGTGACCTTTAAGAGGCGCATGTGTGCTCCCTGGGAACTTAGTGCTACGTCTCCCAGCAACTAGGAAGCCACAGGGGGCAGCTACTCCTTAACACAGCACTCCTGGCCCCAGGGGCTCGGCACAGCCTGAGGGAGAGGCTGCCTGTTCCTGTGCTGCTCTCTCTAACAACCACTTGCACTGCACATCTTCACTCTTCTCCTGCACTTCCTCCTTTTTCCTTCCCTTCCTCCTCCTGCCCCTTCCTTCCCTCCTTCTGATCGAGCCTATTTGCACCCCTTCAAAAACTTTGCTTTCTGGGTTTAGAAAGGAAACAAAAAAATAAAAATCAGACTGTCATTAATTACAATCCTTATATAAAGCTTTTTGACAATCCGACTCTGACTGTTCCCTGTTTCTCACAGACTCTCTCGATATCTCTTGCTGAACAGGAATTTAGTGATAAAAATACACCTGTTGCCCAAATAGCACAATTTTTTTTGTGAATACGAACAGAGCCCTCCCAAAGGCTCCCAACAATTCATGGGCTTGAGAACGCCAAAAAGCTTCTCAAAGCAACAATTCACCGTTGTTTCTATGAAGCGCCATAGAATCTTTGCAAAAGAAATACTACTTAGAGGACCAGATTTGTCACCAGGGTCTGTCTTGTGATGTCAGCAACACACACCAACTGAAAGCCCAACAACCGACCAGCTGCACTGGAGCTGTGGTGGGTCTGTGTCACTGGAGTGGGACAAAGCAGCCACAGCACTACACCTTACCCTGTGTATTACCATCTCTGTGCTCACTCAAGAGTCACAGCAATTTGCAGTCACAAGTAGCAGGAAATATTTGTCTTTAGTTCAACTCTGACCTTTTCAATCTGTTTAGGTTTCAGACAGAAATAGGAAATGAGTTCCACAATCAGGAAGTATAGCTGCTAAAGGCATTTGCCCCCAGGGGCTTGAGGTTCAATCTCAGCCAAATTAAAGGCCTGCTGACTCTGACCTCCGTGAATTACAAGGATTATGTAGCAACAAATTTTCTCAAGATCTGATTTTCCCAGGTGTCCCAGCTCTCAGGGCAGCCTTCCCCAGCAAAGCCCGATTCCCTGACAGCAGCCGTGTGACTCCCAGCAGCACAGCTGTGACGCGGGGCTGTGGAGCCAGCAGAAAGTAATTTCACTGATCTTAAAAGACTTCGTGAATACTAAAGCTTTATGAGCTAATTATAAGCACTGGGGATGACCTCACCTCTTTAAAGTGCTACGTGAAACAACACTGACATGTATCCAGAGTCTACTCCCATCTGTTGCTGATACTGTTAGGTTCAAGCTCTGACTCTTCACATTAGCCCTCCACATGCAGCTGCTTATTAAAAGCCCCTTTCAGATTTTTTAGGGGAAAATTAGGAAAATAAGTATTTCTTTAAACTGGAGCTGACGGAGTGGAATGGAAGATGGGAAGAATCATTCATGTTGTTTTCAACGGAAAGCACAATTTCCTACCCAAACAGCACGGGCTCTCCCCATCCAGCTCCCTGCCCTTCCCAGGCTGTGCAGGAATTTGTCTAGATTTAGGCAGCCAAAGCCCTGACATCAGAGTAATCACAGGATGCTCTGGACAAAACAAAGTGAGAAGGTCAGGAACCACTGGTACCAATGGCAGCACAACGAAAGATCCCTCAAAGTGGGTATACGTAGAGATACGTAAAAATCCTACATGTCTGTTGTGCTAATTTTACCTCCAGCTAATGAAGTCACAAAGTGAAGAGGTATCAACCAAATCTAACAAGAATTTATTCTTGGAGGACAGACCTTCCCTGTTAAATGAAAGGAGTCTCTTCAGAAAAGGGGAAAAAAATCCATCTGAGCTAGCACACATCAGTCTGAATAGCTGGTATTTTAGTAAACCTGTAAGATATTTCAAAGAGCACAATTTTCTGTTCACCCTTATTTTTGGATAGGGCTGTGGGGACATTGCTTCGTTTGTACACCCCCACCTCATGAAAAAAATGCTCCTAACCTCTAACCTGCAAACATGAATGTGATTTTATACTGGAACTCACCTCTAACACAGGCAGAGAAATAATGTCTGTTGTACACGTTACTCCAGGGATAACCTATAAATACAGACAAATTATAAGAATATAAATAATTTCCCATAAACATGGGTGAATTGTTTGTTTGGGTATCTAATGGAATCTTCATTATTGTTTCCTTTGTGAAACTAGCTAGCTAGCCAAAACTGTACAGTCAGTTTTGCCAAAAAAATATAGAAGATGTTTCTCTCATTTATCTCATTTTAAAAGTTACAACAGCGTCAGATCAGAGAAATTAAAATAAGCTATTTGCTCTAATTGTAGGGTCTTACCTAAAGTTACCTATTTTACTTCTGCAAACTTACTCATAGATCTTAAATCTACTGATATCGTTTGTCTTGGAAAGAACTGGTTAAATATATTTTGTATTCATTATAAACTTGCTAAGATAAATAATAAACACCTCATGATGAAAACTGAGAAATTTAATCTTCCATTACATTATAGTAGCTGTTCTTCTTTCATAAATGCTTTTATTTGTTGACAAAAAATAGGACTCATGGAAAACAGCACTACCTCAAGACTTGACAAAATAAAATTGGAATAAAGCACAGATATGGATTTAGAGCATGCTCGTGAAAAGGCAAGGCACACAAGTTAAAGGTGGTATTAAAGGAAAAAAAAATAGATTCTCTCTAGCTATTAAAGTACCAGCTGTTATCTTACCCCAATCCAGTCAAGCAGTGACGTGTAGGGCAGAAGTTTATCCAGGTTGTGAGTTTCTGGACACATTCTGCAGTATAGGGAGGCTGAATGCAACGTAAAAAGATTTATAAGGGCAAGAATGTATAAAGTATCAGTTAACAAGAGTAAGCTTCACAGTCAGTTCCTTATCTAACTCTTTTTTAGGGACAAATCCTGCTGCTGCCTCTGAAACAGCTTCCTCCACGGTGGAACTGGTCCCATTCTGTGCACAAAAGGAGGAAGAGAAGCCCAGATGGCTGCAGGGCCGGGTCAGCTGCTTGGCTACAGCTCAGCGCCGCAGGGGTCCTTTGTGCAAAGGCTCAGGGCACAGGACACGCACCGGCCAGGCTGAGGAATCAGCTATTAGACAAGAACATCATGATATGCTAAATCCTCATGAAAAATGGTTTGGGCCGGGCTAGAGGAGATTTGTTCCTCTGCTCCAATCTCAGTTATTTACATCCCAGATACCCAAGACAGGAGCCAGATGGAGAATTTGCTCTCCACTGACCTAAAATAACAATAACTCTATTTGTCCCACTAGACAGAAGAATGCATTTGAAAAATTTCACTGCCAATCTGATTTTGAGAGATCTCTATATCTTCTAAACTACTGATACTGTCTCTGACACCACAAGTGCAGGTCAGTTAACATAAATCATAACCAAAGAGTTTGGAAAGAAGAGTCAGTTTCCAACATTGCGGCTTCTCCTGAAGTCACAATTAGAGTACATGGGAAAATTTAGCATGCAGGAAAAGAAATACCTACCAATGATAAATTCTTGAATGGGGTCAAAAGAATGACATGTTGACAGGTTCTCAGAAATCCACCAAATAATCTGTCAGGACGAGAACAGGGGAGTTAGTCAAATCTCTCTGTTCAAGCATGTGTTGTAAGAGATTGTCAAAACTCTGTTTTCGGTTGTAACACTTTGGGTGTAGTGATACAGTGATAAATATTTTCAGGATAGCCTCGACCAGTTTGGGCAGCTCAGCTGATGAGCCTCTTGGCATTGCCAAAACCTACATGTGAATCGGGACATTTCTTTGGCTGATATCGTTCATGCCCTGACTTTGCTTTGTATAAGACATCAGTCACTGAAAAAAAAAAAAATTATAGAAGGGTCTTTTCCCACCTCCATTTCCAAGTCTTCTGTGTGTCGGAAGTGCAAGAGAGCACAATGCAGAGCTGCCAATCTCTGGCTGTCTCGTGTGCTGTTCTGCAGGAGCCGTAGCACGGCGCTGTCACTGATGCTCAGGGCGTACATGCTTCCCACGCGGCAATCCAAGACTGTCGACGTGAGCGGGGATCGGAGGGAACTGTTCTGCAACATCTCAATTCTTGCATCCTCACCTAAAGAACATTGGAATGAGAATCAAAAGGACCAAGAACATAAAATCTGGTCGCTACCAGTATTTCTCTGAAGACTCCCAGGTTGCCAGCAGCAAGAAACAGCCTGCCTCTTGTACCAGCTGCCCTGGTATTATGTTGAAGAGGAGGAGGAGGATGGTACTGGCTGGGTAAAAGAAGTAAATGCAGAGCACAGTCCGTGCTCAGTTCTCTCCTTCTGCTGAAGCAGAGGTGCACAGATTTGAGGCTCACAATGTTGTCATAGGACATGTCTTATGTCCTGTACACAGGATGGAACAGAGCACAAGGGTGGCAATAGAGATACACCACCGGGATTAGCACCCAAGCACGTTGGTACACTTCAGAATGCAGAATCATGATAGGAACTTGCGCTGGTGGAATTATTATCGTCAATCCCAACAGCCAGAACAGAACGGTTCTGCTCTATAATTACTGATTAAAGCACCAGATTAAGCCCACTTTATTTATGCTAGTACTAAGGTTCACCACCACAGCAGTACAGTAGGATTCCAGACCCCCAGCACCACAGAAATGAGGCCCACCACACACCAGCAATGTTTGCCATTCCTTTCTAGCAGCACAGTACTTCAACTGTGTATACACAACAGGTATCAGCTTCCTGTGATGCTGCCCCTGCACCAGTTCCCACTACTTACCTCTCCTTCACCCAATCAGAAGAACAGGTATCTGTTTTCAAACAAAGGCCCCCCACTTCCAAAAATAACCCGCTTCCCATAAAGACATGTTTGTTGGAAATGAAATAACATGCCTCTCAGATGAGGCTCTAAATCAAATTGCATCAGCCCGATCAGGTGAAGGAAACACAGATTTCCTCTCCCCACACCCTCCAAACACACACATTTAGAGCAACTCAATTGGAGGAAGGAAATGTAAAATCAAATTTACATCTCCATGTGAAATTTGAGAACAGTGTAGGACCGAGAAGCATGTGCAAAGATGGGGGAAGGGAAACTATGAAACCAAGGCAAAGAATTTCAAATTCAGTGAAAGGTCTTCTTCCATTTCATAACAAGCTAGAAGTACGTAATAGATGAAGTATGAAATGTCACTTCAGATTCTCTTTTTAAAATGGAAAGTGGCAAAAATGTCTCTCTTTTTTTTTCCAATCTCTCTCCTTCAGAACACCATGCACTAAAGCAAACATTGAGAAATACAATTTTCACAAAGAGATTTGAACAAGTTTCCACCACAAGAATAAAATTACTTCAAGTCTTACTATACCTGTCAGAAACAAACTATAGCACAGCAGGTCAGGATGGTGAATATTCAGGAGGTGCAGGAACTGGCCAGGCAAATAAGCAGCCACATAATAGTCTATTTAAAGAAATAACAGTGGTCAATTTAGCACTTGTTCACTATTTGCTTTAAGAGGCTGTTTCACATGATTCTTATCTTGGCCCACTTCTCTCTGATGGAATTGATTATATCTAGGAAATATAAAAGGAGTTAATTAAAAGCTGCTGTTGTATTAACACAGGAAACACTAGCAATATATTTGGGTTTCCAGGGGAGGACTCAAGAGGCTTGAGACACTCAAGAACTCAGCAGCTCATCTCCAGAGAAGATTCTGAAGCAATTTCAGAGGAAGTTGCTTACTAACAGCAAGGTATTGCAGTGGTAAATGCCAGACATAAAAGTTAAGCAAAAAAAAAAACCCCAAAAACCAAAACCACAAACAGCAAAATAACACAACTACTTAAAGTCAAAAAATAATAAATCCTTTCCTTCTAGAGACGTGTTAGCCATTTGTCTCCCTGCTGGGGACAGAGAATGGCAGTCACACCGGGAAATAACACAAGTAACCTACCGAGATTCATAAAAGCCACTTCCTTCAATTGATGAGATTCTGTTCTTTCTAGAGAAACTGTAAAAGTTTTGTTGTAACCTGGGGAAAAATAATAATATTTTTAAAAAACCCAAACAATAAACACCATCTGTTAGAAGCCAAATATGACTTTATCGCTAGAAACTTCAGCAGTGCCAATACACCCTATCAGGGATATTTTAGGACTGTTTTACAGGCTTGTCTGCGCAGACAGATTTACTTCACCCTAAACAGAGTTGCTGCACACTTAGCAGACCTGCACCCACACAATGCAGTTCTCTAGCATGCGGAAACTGGCCATGCACTGCACAGCCTGGGTTTGTGTTTAAAGAAGCAGTCCGCCCAGAGCAAGCTTGGGTAAAAATACCTCCCCTCCTCCAAAAAAAACCAAAACAAAACACCAAACTGAACACAAATCCTTTACGTAGCCGTGCTTCACATTTTGGTGATCTTTCAACTGCTTGAAAGAATTTCCAGTTTATTTATCTGCATGTCCTATTACTGTAATTCAGTTCAGCTCTGTTTAAACATAGGCTAATTTCAGACCTGCTGTGTTTGCATGGGCTTTGCAGAACAGCTGTTATTTTATTCTAGACTTGCACCACGCTTCTGGCATCCAGTAACAATGACATGGAGCCCTCAAACTTCCTCAGCCTCTGAGAAAAGCTGAAGATCAAAATAACTAGGCGACAATGACTGGCCTCCAAATGTCCATGCTGCAATAGCCTCAAGGCTGAATGGTGTCATGATCAAGGTGCTGCTTAACACTGCATGAAAATTCCAGGTAAGACAAGAGAACCACAGTTTCTAAGATCACCAAGGAAAAAAGTAGATCGTGAGCCATGCTTCAGCCACCCATCCAGGACTTCAATTCCTGACACTAGCAGAAAGATATGCTTTATCTGTGCTGCAAAAAAACAAAGGGGACCTGCAAGACCAACAGCAACGCTACAGATGAAGGGGTATCTAAACCTAATGTTTTTCAAACAAGATACTGACTGAAGCTTGCTTGCCATGAGTCAGTATACTCACCATCACCACCCTGTTACTTGCCAATGCAAACACACCCAAGCTAATACCAGCACTGCAGAATGCACCTGCAACATCATCACTTTTGCTTTTATGCTACATCAAGTGACTGTGGGGACCTGATTTAACATGGGGAGGGAATCTTCCTTTTGAGTTTACAGATACTGCAGCACAGACTGAACTCCTTATATGTCTTCAAACTGGGGCTTGCGGACCTGATATACCTCTGCTTCTGTGGGTCACCTCAGGATCAGTCTTAAAATTCTCTTGTATGACTGAGGAATCTTACACCAATCCTAACAGCTCTGCACCAAACAACTCCATTCCATGATGTTTTTTTCACATAGAGCTTCCTAATACAGATAGGAATGTACAAGGGCCATGGCTGGCTCCAAGCAATACAGCCACCCTTCAGCTACACATGGAGTACCTCTGGGGAAATCAGCCCTTCATGGCGATAACGTGCAGAGCGCTGCCGCACCCACAATGGTCTTTTCCAATTTGTTAATGCCTTCACCAACACAAAAATGTAATTCATTCAATCCCATAGTGTTCCAGCAGCAAAGCAACATGTTAGTGCAGCTCTGACACATTAAGAGATTCCTGACACAAGAAAGAAAACACTTAAACAGAGGCATGTTGTCCACTTGAACACAGATACTCCATAAGATGCAGCTTCTCAATTAAGAAATGATTCACCTCTCTCCTCCATGTATCAAACGAGAAAGATCTTGCTAATGACAAGTTTTGCTCTGGTCAGAATAAAGCAACGTTCTTTATTCTTTACAAGAAAAAAAAAAAGAAGTCTTAAAATTAAGAGCTAGAGCACCACTTACACAGCAACTATTCTTACAGTCAGTGGGTGTTGCACCTCTTGCTGTGAAAATGACACGTTGAACTGGAACTCTAAACAGACATTCAAGCTAAGAGCTGTTGGCTCCATTTCCCACACAAAGGCCTTATGGCATAAGTACAACACACCTGCAAGCTCCCGCAGATCTCAGTGATGTTTGTGCTCAGCGTGCCAGAGAGTCTGCCTAGAAATATGGCACCAAATTAATAGCCACTCACGAGGCCGCTGGTTTGAAGCTACATGTTCAGCACCAGGCACAAGGCCACAGCAGGAAAGTCAACTTCACAACTAAAGGCAGTTGCTGTCTTTAAACACCAGCCACAGCAGTTTATTGTCTGCAGACTTTGGTACTTATTTGTTTTGCAAGGCATTCTGTGGCTTTTTCAGCAAAGTGGCATTCTCCAAAATAAAGCATAACTTAAAAGGTTAATCTTACCTTTATGTAAAAAATATATGGAGTATCTTATTTCACCAGGAATATCAGAGGGTAGGCTGCAACACACACACAAGCCTCCTAAAAAAAGAAAAACAAAAAAGGAAAAAAAAAAAAATTTACTTGCCCACCTGAATACCTAGACTGCACTCCATCTTTACACTGGACAAACTAAAAGGAAGACTGTTTCAAATTAGAAACTAATCTCTCAAATTGATATTACATATCTCTAACCATCATTTACCTAGTAAAACACAAAATAAGAGAGAACAGAGGCGATATGGCACAATGGAAAACTGGGTTCTGACATGGCCAGTCCTTCTCTTTAGAAATACATTTTTAGCCCTTCCCAGCAGAAATCATGCTTGCAGCCAGAAACTGACCAAGCCTTTCTCTCCAGACTCCTCAGTCTCTGGATGTTTTCTGTTTAGGGACTGTCAAATATGTACAGAACAACACAGTAAAAGGCAGTCTGTTTGCTTTCTAATTTCATATTGGCAGCAGCATGATATGCTACTAGAGCTTTCTCACACTAGAAATGATAGCTACTTCTCCTCTTTCCGTCCAGTGACATTAATTCCTATTTTAGGAGAAAAGTCAGTCCTTGGCAAAGGCTTACTTCAGCCTAGGTACCCCTGAGCAGGAATGCTCCCCCCTCCCAGCCTAATTCTAAATCAGACCAATAGACTGTTTTGACTCCACTGGATGGTAGCCCTCCCTCCATTTTTTATAAAAACTTTAATCCACTTACACCATTGCTTTGGCATTCATTTTAGAAACAGCTTCCTACATTATCCCAATACAGCTGGGAAAGCTGGGCCACAGCTATGACCATTCACCTTTTATCTTTATTAAAAGCTTATAACTTTAAAAAAAAAACAGAGGTAATACTAACCTTCTGTAAAAAATAAAGGTTTATGTATACAAGGTATACAGAAAAAGGCACAGTATGGAAAAAACACAAGCACAAAAAAAGCACAGATACCAAGGTAATTTACTTGATAAGTGCCTCATACTTCAGGCCACAAGACTGTGCCACAGCTGTGACAGAGATATGGCTGAGGCACTTTGTGCTTTTGGGTAAGGTAAAAGTGTGAGATGCAATTCTGAGACACAATTTTTTTCAATTGTTTTTTTCTACTTAGCTGATTGAATATTGTTTGATACAGTTTTGCTTGGATATTTGAGTCATTTAGACAACAGACAGGGCATTCTGCCAGAGCACTTGGCAACTTTCAGAGCATGCATAATTTTTAAAGTAGCAGCATCAGGACTCATGAGGAAGACTGGAAAAGCTCCAGCAACCCACAATGCTGTTTTATTATCAACAGCTCCCTTCCAACGCTGCAAATTTCTTTCTTGTATGCTGGAGGGTAGTGTATACACTGTTCTGTAAACTGCACAACGTGCAAGTGAGTGAGTTCAGATTCAAGTGTCAGTGGGCATATATACACGTTGATCACAGTGGCTAAGGAGGACTATTAAAAGGACGTGCACCTTTCAACTCTACCAGACTGGTCCAAATGTTAACAAACTGAACCACAAAAAACAGAAAAATATCAAATGGTGCTCATTAATAGAGATAGAAACACCACAGTCTCAGATCAGCAAGTGTCCAAGCAACATTATTTACATCTGATACCATCTTGGCAACCCCATTAGAGCAGCCATAAGAGAATATAAAATACATTCCCTTCCAACACCTGCCAGTGCTCTCTGCAAATTAGAGCTGGGGGTGAGGATACTGGGAAAGCTTGTTGTCCTATGGCACCTATGTATTAAGTGTTTTATGCAAAGGTAGAACCAAGTCTTCTGTACTATGCGTTTCAAAATAATTTGCTACAAGAGCTGTAGCTAAATGCCACAAGGTGAGAAGACTCACATGAAGATATATTTGGATGGACTCATATATATGTTCAGAAATAAAATGGAAAAAAGATGTCAACTACAACAAAGTAAAAAAACGAAGCATTTAAAAATTAAGTTCTACTCATACAAGATAACAGTGAGTTACTACTTTCCACAGAACCAGGGACACAACAATTAGAACTTCGCCACTTGATAAATAAACATAATTCCAGTGAAATTCTAAGAATCTTTTCTATGAAGACATGAAGCTTTCCCTAGGAAACTTTAACTTCAAAGTCCTCATTTCTGTTCATGCAGTATTGTAAAACATAAGGCTGTACAGACATCTCAACACGGCATTCAAATGTCACAATTCAAATATAACATTGCACCAGGGCATTCTGTCTAATTGTCCTGGCTTCAGAGTGACTTGCCTCACCCAACTTCAGCCATCCAAGCATCTAATTTAAACTCTTATACAGCAAATGAAGAAATCATCCTCTGGAGATGCCTATTTCTCTCTATAAATATAGTCCAGATGCTCAACTCTTAGGCAGGTATTGTTAGGTGACAGAAATCCAGGGTTTATGTCATCTTACTGCCTGCATTTTTTTTAATACCAAGCAGATCTAACTGAAAAGTACTTCTAAAGCACTAAAATAAAACATAACAGTGTTGTTTAAATTACCAGTGAACTCTGGACATACGAAGTTAATTCTGAGACTAGAGCTGCTTGATCTCAGTTCATCTAGACGTACATGGGGGTTTTTATCTGGAGACATTTTGTCTGTGCTGAGTACAAGGAACACGGCTACTTTTCTTTGACTGCGGAAGTCTGAGAAAGGAAGAGTGATTTCATTCAGAGTTCAGACTGGCAGTAGCCAATATCAGTTTTATTAAATGGCAAATTGCACAGAATATTCCATTTTGAAGTTATGCCAATTATTCTTTGCCGGAGATGTCCGAATGGTACAAATAGGGATACTGGCATTAATATTTCAAGCATACTAGCAGTTCCACAGAAGGCGTAGTCTGCACCCCAAAGAGCTTGCAGTCCAGTTCTCCAAATCACCACAGACAAGAGGTACAAAAGGGAACTTTAATGCCATTACCCACAGTATTCTCTGACTAGATACCATCTTAGCACTGACACTATTTGCTCCAAATCATCAGTTCCTTAAAATGGGTTGTGCAAAGTAATCATCAGTTTTAAACAACATTCAATGAAAAGCCACATAAAATAATCTCATTTAGTAAGTGCAATTGTCAAATTACGTGTTTTACATTAAGCGCAATGAAAAGCACCCGTGAGAGGTTCCACACAGAATTTAAATACTGTGTTGCCAGATGGAAAAGAACATTATCCTTCAGGGTAATCAAACAACAGCCTTGCTGGAGGAAGGCTGAATTTGATCCTAAACTAAAAGGAGGTGCTTTGATCTGAACAAACCCTATATACAAATCAATAACATTTTCCACTATTGGACAAACTGTTTGTATAAGAAATACTCCGTCTTGCTTACAGAGAAGAAATAGCCTAAGCTACATTCGGTAGATAGAAACTTGGCTTTCTCTTATTTCTAATTCCTTCCCCCCAATCTTTCTAAACATGCTGTCTGCCTTAGTAAGAAAAAAATTCATGTAAGGCAACTGTATTTCAAGTGAAATTTGCATTAATGGTCATTTCAACACAACTGGCAAATACCTCAGCAATTTGCCTGCGTGCACACAGCATGCCTTAAGAAGTAAGATGTAAAGAAGCCACCTCTGCAACACGTCACCTCCCTGCACAACTCTGTAGACTATTCAAAGGTTAATCAGATACCATCTCTGCTTGGCAGCACAGTCTAATTTAGAAGCTGAAAATGCAGGCATCTGTGATGAACAGATGTCTCTCGAGTCCAGTTTTTAAACCAAAAAGCTCATGGCATGCATTAGGATGCAGGGAGATTCCTAAATCCTAAGGGTTTAAGGAAAAATTTAGGTTAAAGTTTAAGGTTTATACTAAACCCTAAAGTATGACATACTAAGTTTAGGATCATATACTAACAGCAATATGAAGCTCTTAGAGTCTGTATCACAGATGCTTTGTTTATGCATGTCCACTCTGCAACACAATCATCTGCTATGTCAAATACCCAGATAACAGATCTGGCTGAAATCTTCCCCGAATTTACTTCCTAACACATTTTTGGTCAGCTTTAACATTACATTGCTCTGATGCAATACGCAATCATGCTTTGGTACCACCTGTGTTCTGAAACGAACAGAAAATGCTACAGTGTGCTTAGACTGAGATATTTCACCACCTGAGGGTATAACACCAGTTCTTTGGACTACCAGAAAATTTCTGGGTGACTGTTTTATTGTTGGTGTTGATATATAAAAGCTTAGGTACTCTTCAGCTCAACTTGGAATGCAGTGTTCAGAGGATGAAAAGCTTAGTAAGAAAAATAGTGCACAGTTACCTGTCAGATATAGGCTAAAGGAATATTAATCTCACACTCATACAAAAAAACACCATAAAAATACAAATACATAAAATGTCTTATGAAGAAATTTAGTAATCAATTATGACTACACCACATGATAATTACTAGTGGAGATCATTTTGACAATACTTTTATTTATTCATTACCTGATTTACTTGTAAAAACCTGAAGATTCAAAGATTTAGATGCAACATCTTGGTCTTCACAGTAATCGTATCCAAAATTCACAAGTCTATGAGCAAATAAAGATCACTAAATAAATCACTTCTTCACCCATGGTGATTCATCACAACACAAATATCATGAGAACTGTCACTATGTAATCAAAAAAGTACTAATTAAGTTATAATCAAGTGTTCTGTAAGGCAAGTTAAATTAGGCTTTAACCAATCAGCTCAACCTTGTTAGAAAAGAGAATCCCCAAACTGCACACTTATCAAAATAATTGATTACACCTGCAAACTTCATATTTGCTTACTGCAGCAGTGTCCAACCATTTCTATACTTTAACGTTAAGCAAGTTCTGATGAAGTACTGGAAATCCAAATATTCATCAGACCTGAGAACATAAAGGCTTTGCAGCCTAACTCTACCATTCTCATGTCTGTAAAGCTCCATTTTAATCTGCAAATAGGCACACTAATTTCAGCGGAAATACTTGAAAAAGAAAGCACAAAATCACACTCACAGGGAACTTGTTATACCATGACATTCTTTTTCAGTCTTATCCTGCCTGTGCTTTAAAGGTTTTTCATACCGTTTAAATCTACAAGTCCTATTTTTGCCATGGAGAACGTGTAACAGAGACTGCAGTCAGTCTGCTTTGGCTTTCTTCTTGTTGGTTTCTGTTGGGTTTTTTATATTTTTTTTTAGTTGGGTTTTTTTCCAGAAAGGATATTGATCCTATAGGAATTTTCCCCTAGGCCTTCTGTAATAATTTTGAGAAAAGATTATAACGTTGAAGCTCTTACAAGAGTTGGGTTTTTTTCAGTACTCACTGCAAGAGGATACACTGCCCGTTTAGGGCAACCTGCATGTGCAGCAGCACCACGCTGAGCCTCCTGCACAGCACGGAGACACTCTGAGACACACAGTCTGGGCATGGTGGAACTCAACCACCCTCAGTTGTTGATATCCGATCTAATAGCTGTGACCTCCCTATTTATTCACAAAGAGAAACAGGCCCTTTTGGAACGCAAATTCAACTGACTAAAGATAGATGAGGACGAGATGAATTATGAATGAGAGTCAGACCATCCAGACTAGTTTTTCCTCAATTAAAAGGGAGCCTCAAGGAGACAAACTCAGAGGCAGTCATGCACAGTAGACACAGATAGAATCAGACGAATCTTAGCCCTTGAAAGTGCAGGCTGCCTGAAAATAGCATGCTGGAGGAGAAAAGGGTACAGGCAGTGTCTCACAAGCTATAAAAAGGAGCTACTGGTTTGGTTAACTGCCCAGTAAAATAAGTAACAGCAATTAAAAATGGAGAGCTTCCCTTGACAGGAATTTTGACATCACCACTACAACATCCCCAAGATTAAAGCAAACTAATTTAAATAGATACAGAATACTCAGGGGAAGGATGGTTTAACCTCTTCAGACAAATAATTTTTATAACTGCCACCAAAAAGCAGTCAAGGATTAAATTACATTTTACAGTTGACCCTGATGAAAACGAGAAGAACTGGAGGTCTGGACACAGTGTTCATAATATTCTTATGTTCCAGTACCTTATAGGCAACTGCAAACAAAGATACTGCAGCTGGGACAAAAACTTTACTTAGGTTTGTAAAACATTACCCCATATATTAAAAGGAAAGCAACATAAACCATAAAAATGCCTTACTTTAATTGTGTGCCATTTACAGAAATATCCAAGTGTGATTCCAGCTGTTAACCAAAAAAAACCAAACTAGTTATATAGTGAAGTAATGATTAATAATTCAGCCCAGTAAAATGTGTTGAACTCACATTTCACCAGATTCAACATTTTAACAAAGTTTATTTATCTTCCTCTAACAGTTGCAGTCACCCTCAAAACCAGAATACAGATTATTTAAAAAGGTGATATTTAATCTCCTGCATTAGAGCAAATTTCAGCCACTGGGACAAAAAGCTAGTAACAATTACGCGTTCAACAGTTGTAATTTTTATGTTTTGTTCTCTGTATTTTTGCTGCAACAGATTTTCCAGTCTTGCTTAAAACTGTCACAACATTAGAATGTGGTTTCTTTGTCTAGTGCACTTGATAACCCTGCTTTTCAATACTTAAGATCTTTGTAGTATCACGAATGACACTTCCAGGTTAATATCTGTGCAAGTCCATTGAAGTTACCTTACCATGGTGCAATCTGAATCTGACTGAATATATTCTTGAAAAGAATATAATGAAAAAAAATAGAAAAACAAACCCCCATTTTCCTCTGCAAAAGTTCCAGTAATAGAAGACACTTAAATGGATCTCTGTATCAGTGCCTGGACCACAAAATTACATCCAACTCAAAATGATTGTATAAAAAAAAAAATAGTAATGACTTACTATTGAGTTAAAATTTTCATCAGGATAAAACTGGACACATTTTAAAGTACTCCTTGACTCCTGGAATTAAGAGGATGTGTTTTGTAATTGATAAAACAGAAAGCATATCACACAGACTGAAAAGTGACTGGATACTCCACAGCATTCTACGCGCTCAACCCATTTTGCTAACAGACATGCAGAAGTTAGGGGACAAAAGAAGACTTTAAAAACCACATATAACCCCCCACAATAGCACTATGACATGCTTCCTTCCTGTCCCAGATCATTATCTGCCAATCATCTATAATTGCGTGGGCCTCTACTTGAAGCACAGCATTATATCTCACACACACACATTCTAGAAAGTTAAAAAAAAGTTTTCCATAACTACCTATATGGCAAAAGAAACTGTTATTTTATTTTGGTCAGTTAAAAAAAAAAAAAAAAAAAATTCTAAAAAAAAAAAAAGGAATTGTTTTTCACATCCAAGAACAGACCTCAGGGTTGCTGGCTCACTGTTCTACCTTGGGCTACCAAGCCAGGTTACCTTTTTATGTCTCCCTGTCACCACAAGTCCTGGTGGTGCTTGCCAGAAAAAAAAAAAAAAAAAAAAAGTATCTCAGAAACAAAACAGGAATGTGTTTCTCCATCACAGGTCACTTCCTGTTATTTCCTAACATTCAAATATTTTTGGTGGCTAAGAGTTAAGAGAAATTGATTTTCATTTATGTAGAATATATCAAATGCAAATAGTCCCTCAGTCAAAATGAGCACACAAACGAAAAAAAGTTTCAGCATTTCTAGCCAAGAGCCTGCCCTCATTTGGTTACTCAGTAAGTCTGTGTACAGCAGACTTTCTAGATGCGAATTCTCTAAAACAGAGACATTCTACTCATGACAGTTTTTGGTAGATTTAGATCCTTTTGAATAAAAGATCTTTTTAAAGCCAAAAAATCTAACCACTCCAGCCTTTTTTATAGAAAGGATCAAGAGCACCAGTCGTGCAATCTACTATGCACAAATGGCAGCTAAGGCCAGTCTGGCTTTTGCTTTGGTTTAGCTGAGGTTGGAACGAGACATACTACTATAATGAAAACCAAAATCATACTAATACTAGTCCCCACACTCAAAACTTTACTGTCATGAGACAGACAGGAACAAAACTATTAGAATTACTTTCTTCTCACCTTTGGAACAATGTAGAAGAGCCTTTGTTCCATCATATCCCATTGTGCCCAAATGAGATCATCTGCAACTCTGGCTCTTGGAAGCTGACCCGAGTTTTGTATCACCTAAAGGGAAAGAAAGAACATTAGAAGTTGTCAAATAAGGTCCCATAATGGTGATTGTACACAGTCAGTGCTTGAAAAAAAAAAATAATGACAGAAGAGGTGCAAATACTTAGGGGCTTAGAGGGAATATGCTGCTTGCTAGCTGCACCTTTTTTTGTGTGCGAGGTGCTCAGTTTAAAGAGATCAGAAGCACAATTTTCAGGGTATATCTACTACCAAATATTTCCTTTTAGATTTCCTTGCCTGCAAGAAATTCACCACTTAAGCTGCTCAAAGTGAACAAAGAAAAACAGACGTCACTCCATCACAGAGAAGGGGAGAGGAGTGAAATACCACAGTCAGTTCAGAACCAGCTACGTTAACTATTGAAGGAAGATGCGTTAGCTCTGAAAGAGATTTCTATCCAAAGTCTCAGCCACACGATGGAGAGTACTGGCAGCAGGAAAAGGGACAGGACTGGGGAAAACTGCTGGGACTCTATAAATGCACTCCTGAAAGATGTAAGATTTCATATCCTTTAATAGACTTGTTTTGGTTGACATTGATCTGTTTTTTCTGGTTATACTCTTAGTCTTTACTCCACTACTGTAGTCCAGCATATAAAACTTCTCTGCTTTAAAAGCAATAATAAAATTTGAGAAAACCATGAAAGACTTCAAAGTGACTGAAAATCAGGACCATAACTTTTTCCTTCCAAGCCTACATTTGTCTTCATAAAGCACAACACTGACTTGGTGACACAATTCTTTACTACATTGCATGTATGCTTATTAATAATAAGCTTTTTAAGCAAAACATACATCATCAATTTGTTGAACACAAATTCAAGTTAAAAAAAAGAAAAAAAGATGAGGGTAAAGACTTTGGAGCATTCACAGTACTTGGAGTGTATCTAAGTTGCATGCCTTCTGTTTTTTCAAATGAATCCTTTGCTGGAACAGACTCCCAGAAGGCAAAGTGAGGAAGGTGACTCTGCAAATATTTTGAATGGTTCAAAACTAAACTTATGCTATGTTTTGTCTAAATTTCTAACAAACAAACACATTCAACAACAAAAAAACAATAAAACAAATAACTTTCCTCATAGATTACATGGGTTCTCAATCAGCTTTGTGGTAGGCTGCACAATACTCTCTTTAAAATACTTTGTGTTATCCAAGGATAAAGCTACAAAAACCATTTAGCTAAAATTACAGATATTTAAATTTTCAATTAAAGTAAAAATACTTCAAAACTCAAGATTTTTCAGGTCTTACCACTTTGTGTTCTTCTTCTGCCACAACATGAATGTCAAATTGTTCAACATCTTTAAAAGACATTTTAAAAAAAAATAATATTACAAACATACATTTTTATATGCTTTTACACAGCTAATTAAACAACCCCACCTCGTACAATGCTGTTACAACATTTTAGGGCTAGGAAAGTTCTACTCAGTGTAAGAGGAAACCTGTGATATCTGAACACAGGCGCCTACGCAGAGCCCCGGACCCCGTTCCTGCCCTGAGCGGAGGCCGGCCTCAGCTGCACTCCCCCATGGAAACAGCTCTCTGCCACCATCCGCACAGCACCCTCAGGGAGAGAAGATGGGAAAAAGCCATCTCACTCTTTAATAAGACTGAAAGAGAAGAGGGATAAACAGCCTTTTCCAAGTGTCCACTTCTGTCCGTTCCCTTGCATTAGATGATGCGAAGTGAGCTGAGTCCGAGGAACTATTGTCCTATCCTTATCCCACTTGTCACGTGTTAAATCACAATCCATATCTCAGTCAATTGATCTGTTCTGAATTTATATAGGCAGCTACAAAAGTCTATTTTAGTTTTTTTAGAAATAACTGATGAATGCACGAACTAAGCAAATAGAAATAAAAATAACTGATGAATGCACGAACTAAGCAAATAATTGCAAAGATCGCCATTCTACTAAAATTGAAAAAAATCCCATAAAATTATATAGTTTTTGGAAGACATTCAGAATACTTAGAATAGCTCACACCCTTCTTTTTTTTTTTTTCCAATAGAAGTCTACCAAAAATATAATCTCTAATGATCATCTAAAAGAATGATAATGTACTTTCAAAATATTAACTCACATTTATCTTCTGAAACTAGCAAGAGGCGACTTCCTGTAAAAGCATTTCTGTCTTCAGCTGGGTAAAGAAACTACACAGAAAGTTTCACAAAAGTAAGTAAATAACCAAAGTAGTTTAGAACACTTATCTAAAATGCTTTTCTTTAGCTGGATATTTTCATATTTTTAAATTAAGACAGGCACACTAATGATATTAATAAAAATAGCTACTATTACAGACTAATGGTCACCAATCACTACAATTACAAGCTTTGGGGGACTGAAGAGAAATAAAAAAAAGCTGCCTTCATGTCAGAGGAATATTCTACATCAAACATTTTTCTCATCCTATGAAGAAAAAGAGCCACACTATGTCTGTAACAGTTGCAAGACAGCATGAAATATTTCTGCATTCAACCATCTTTTCCATCTAGCATAGTGGATTAATAAGGTCTATATTTAGATTATTTGAATAATTTACCTGTACTCGAACACAGCTATCCACAGCCTTTAGGACTCTCACATTATTAATGGGATGAATTTCAATTAGCAAGGTTAAATACTTGGATACTGCAAAAAGAACACATTTTAAATAACAGGTTTTTTATGCACAATTCTTTTTTTCTAAACAGAAATTATGTGGGGGGAAAAAAGCAAAAGGGTACAATATTTCTAACAGTATTAAAACAATCTACTCGTAGTACCTGACTGTAATAGCCGACTTACTCTTTCTTCCTCTGTATATTGACGGAAGCTGACCGCTAAGGGGGGAAAAAAAACCAAATATAATCCCTGTGAGCATGCATATTGAATATTAATCTTATTAAACATTCTTGGACTAGAGAGCATCGCAATTTATTTGTTTTTACCAAAAGCATTCTGTTAAAGGACCAAAAGAAGTTCTTCTAGATGTAAGAGGCGTGTATAAATGCAGGAGGGGGAAGTGAGCTAAGAGTCAGCGTGTCTTTGATTTTTGTTTTAATAAAACAGCAATATCATTACAGCTGTGTCTTTAAGCTGTCACCTATGTTACTTAGTATGGGTCCACTGAAATACATAGACTGCTGTGGGTCAAAACGGGTCAAAATAGATTCAAGTATTTCTAGACCCAAACATATCATCCTACTAAACTAAATCATCTTTACCACAACGAAAAAAAGAAAAATTATGATAAAACACATATTTACCCAATAACGTCCTTTCATTGTTGACCGAACAACTGATTATGCGTAGATCCCTCTCAAACATATAGAGGTGCTGCAGAGAAACACATTCATCCTAATAAATAATTTTAACTATATTAAAAAAGCCATCTAATTATTCCTCCTTAGGAAAACACTGCTGACCAGTACACCATTTTTATTTTTAAAGCAAATAATTTCACATCCAGAAGAACCACATTTCAAGCCTCAATTCTATCACTTCTCCTTTTTCTCATTTGTTTGTCTTACTGTTTCTTTTGAGCTCTATGTTGCCACTAAAGCAGCACAGCAGACCTTTATGTAAATACAAAATTTCACCCATTTCATAATGTTATGGGGACACCTGCAAAGGCCTGTCATCGTGATTCCAGCCACTGAACTGAAGTACATTCACCTTCAGAATAATTTCTGACACACAGTAGTGCCAAGCAAACTGAAGATGCACACATAACACCAAAACCCCAAACCATTTACTTCTTAGCACACAGGTTCAGCATGAAGAGGAGTGGAAAAAGCTTGAATTGGTTGCTTAGAAATAAAGATTGCAGACGTGACACTTTACTGTTCCAAGGTCATTCAGATGCTCTGTAATGTTCTGCATCTAAATACTACTGAGCATCATTCAAATACCTTCTCTGGTCTCTCTTCTGTTTCAAACGTGCATTCCTTAAGAACAAAACATACTTGTTGCAAGGCATCAAAATCTGAAATGCTACAGCACTGTCTTTCACCAGGGAAGAGTCTGGTATTGCTCTCACCTCATTTTGTTTAGTTTGAAGATCGTACAATCCAATGTGAGTACTTCTCTGATTTCCCTATGGATGAAAACAAATTAGCACTGGCAATGTAAATATATACAAACTTAAATGTTGTTTTCATTTTCTTTCCTACCTCCCTCTTCCCTTCCCCCAGCCCCTTGACACACATCCTCACACACTTCCCTGTCCTATAAACAGGCAGTTAATTATCTAATTCCAAGAAAGTGAGGCAAGAAAGAGAACAAAGATTATTTTTTTTTCCTTTTAGAACTAAGGCACAGGACAAAGCTGAAATGTGGCCAATCCACAGCCCACAAGGCGTTGCATAAGCCAAGTGAGCCTCTCTCACTCTCACTCGGGTTCTAAATTGGTTTTTGTTACAGGCAGCAGGGCCAGGAGGCGGGACGTCTGACGAGAATCAAAGGGGATGCTCTGACCCCTGGAAGATTTAAGGCTGGGATTCCAAACCTCACCAACTCGGTGGGTCACTGCTCAAAAGGGAGCACAGAAACATCAAACATCACCAAACACAGCTTCCAGGGGTCTGGCTGCAGGCTGAAAAAAGGATTTCAGCTCCAAAACACTAACATCCTCCGTACTTAGCTACTGAAAAATAGACTTTACAAGACTGGTAACAGTACTACACCAGTGCCCATATCTGTACATAAGCTAACATTTACTTTAAAGATTCTTGTATTGCCTTGCAAAATAGAAGTGCTCGACACCAGAATTCACTTCTGTTAAAAATATCTACCTTTACACCAATTATCAATGTCACAAAAGACAAACACTTTCAAAACTACAGTCCAACTCAATACTCTAAAATAAGCCTGAAAATAAAGCTCGTTCTCCACCCTCCCCTGATTTCAGGCAGAATGCACTTGATTTTCTTCCACTTAGCAGACAAAGGTTGTTTTCTATTTGTATCTATTAGGAAACAGGCCAGGGCAGCTCAGTTTAGTTGACATCCTTGTTTGTGCACTATCCTCACTGACAACGTCACGGCTACAGTATGTTGCTGTAAAACCAACAGGAAAGGCTCACGGACATATAGCTGTGTCTTGCAAAAGTGGTAACTCGTTAGCTATAAATAGTTTGTCGTGAAGGGTGGGAGAGCAACAAAGAGATATTGAACTGCCTTAACAACTCAGTAAGACCTGTAGCTTGTTAGAAGCCGTAATTAAATAATGATTTCTCCAAGCTAAGTTTAAGGAAACACAAGGACTAGCTGCAGACACTAAAAGCAGCCTGTTTTCCCAGGTAAGTTTTCTAGACACATATTAGCAGAATAGAATAGCAGTACAAAAAGAATACTTATATTTCAGAACAAGTTTGTAAAAATTTGTGTCAAACTGGGGCCTAAAACTACTTGTCATTCAGTAAGATGCACACACCAAGACTCTTATTTCTGCAAACAGGAATGGAGACTCCTCTTAAAAGGTTTGCAGTAAACTCCAAAACCACAGAACTATACCCATACGTTGTCAATGGACTGATTCAGAAAAGGAAACATTTGGATTGAATCCTTGTTAAGTCATAGTAAAGTGTAAAAAGACAGACCCAGACACACAATACTCCCAATGTTTGCTAGTTTTCAGCATTCTACTCCTGAGAGTGGAGAAGAAAAAATTCAGTCCTGCTGTAAGGTTATCACAGTCCCAAGGTGTGACTGCAGCTGACACAGATGTAACTGGTTTAACAAAAGCACGGACATGAGGAAAGGCACAGCCTTAGCAGCTCAGGACACCCGATAAGTGCTACACAGCTACAGCCTGGGCCACCATGTGTGCTCCTAGCAATACAGGAGCCACCCAGAGTCACAGGAGCTCGGGGGCAGGCACACCCACATGTTCCTATCGTGCAGGCAGACAAGCGTGGGCGTATTGACTCCAGTTGACATCAACAGCACCTAAGTGGGTACCAACACTTTCAGCTGAAGAACAGAATTTTTATTGATCCAACAGCAACAACAAAAAAAAAAAGAATACCACACACTACGAGCAACTTCTTTCTGGGAGAAGCATCACATATTTAACGCAATACTACCTTAAGATACATTTGTTCTTTGTGAGAGAACTCCAGGAAGCATTTTCCAGTTTGCCCATTAGCAAGTGTGAAAAAACAGTTACATAGAAGCAAACAAAATATGTCAGCATCCTTCCCAACAGAAGAATAAATAAATGCTGGTTCTTCAGCAGGCTGACTCACTCAGGAGAAAAAGATCAGACTATGATGGTAAGAGAACAGGAAAGGAAACAGCAGCATATCCTTCAGGACAGCATTTGAGAGGCGAAAACTGCAGCGCAGCTGTGCAGTTTGCTAGTTTCAGTTCTCAGGCTCTGTCATCCAGCCATTCCTACCACACAAGCTGCAGAGGTCACATTATTCCCAGAACTAGGAAAGAGAAATTACAGTGAACAATTTCAGTGACTTCTTATGCAGCCTTTACGCTTCGGTTTGGGGAACTAACTCTAGGTGTTGAAGTCCTCCAGAGAGTCATTGGTCTATTCAGTCAATGGAGTCTAGTGGTTATTTGTCCATCTCCTCCACCCCACACACCTCCCCCCAGAACCCCAGGCTACAAGTAGCCAGTTCTCTAAACTCCACCAACTGCTTTGGCCAGATCCCTACTGACCACAGTGGGAGCTCAGACATCCAGCACACAGGCAGACACCCATGTTCAGATGTGTGAACCTTGAGCTACAGCTCATCCCGTGTGCCAGCTGCAACAGCCTGAGCAGCACACAAGGCAGTTGGACTCCACCATCAGAAGCCCAAAAAAGCTTAGTGTGAGATTCCATAGATGCTAGGAAGCAGCAACATCACCATGTACATAGTACCAGATCACCTGTTAGGGGCTAGATGGGTTACCTTCATTAAGCCTTTCTAGAGTTTTATGCAATGAAAAAAGCAAAAAAAAAAACAAAAACCAAAAAACTGACACATTCTTTAGTGTTTTTTTTTACGGTTACTGATGTCTTGTGCAGACTCCCCTCCCTATGCTTGTACTAAAGGGGTTTTTTTTACGGTTACTGATGTCTTGTGCAGACTCCCCTCCCTATGCTTGTACTAAAGGAAACATCCACCCACAGTTAAAGTGTATTATACCTTGATGAAGGCCTCACCTCTTCCCTTAACCCTAGGGAAGCTGGAGAATTTTAACACTGTTGAGCTGGAGGGAAACAAAAGGCAGCCCTATTTAACCGGGGTCTGCTATCTGCAGGCTGTACTCTTCAAGAGCCAAGGTCCTCCAGAAACCAGCTGGGTTTACAGATTTCTCCGAGATGCACAAAAAAAGAAAAGAACCTCGTCTCGCTTGTCTCATCAAGGGGAAACCTTCTCAAACCATTTAAAAAGCTCTTTGAACTACAGGTGTTTCAATCTAAAATCTATACATATGCCATGGAGAACAGAATCCTACGTTAAAAAGGATAGCTCTAGATACTTCAAGATACCAAATGAGCAATGATTACTTCAGGCTAGTGGCAGCAAAATGCTACAGACGAATCTTAAAGGGAATGAACAAGAAGGGCAGAAGCAGAGCTTCTTAAGATGCCATTAGATAAATGGCATCTTAACATACATATTGGTAGGAGGAAACATACTTAACTAAAGCAATGCACGTGAATTTAATAGTCAGACATCCATAAGAAATTCTGAGGGTGAAAGAATGTACTGCTTATGAAGAGTTTATCTGTTAAAGAATGGGCATTTCATTCAGAATGAGATTCTGCGCCCCCAAAAAATCAACAGCAAAGACCGTACAGACTTAATCAGGGCAGTACCTTCTCTCCATTTCATCATTCTTAACCTTTGTCTGAAGTGGAGACGGGTATTTTCCCATTGCCCAACTCCCCCAAGCTGTAATTAGTCAAGTTTTCATGTTCTAACCCTCACTGCAAAAAAAATTTAAACTACAAGAACTCAATTAGGCATAGGTACACATACAATGTTATTCTCTGCTATGTTTTTATTAAATTGCAATGCAGACTTACCTTCCACGTATAAATAATTTTTCCATTTCTTTCTACATTTACAACGTAGAGCTCTGATGAATTCTCAGAAGTATCTGAAATAATAAGTATCAAAAGACACAGAAATTTCATTTGAGCTGGTTCATGATATAATTTATGCACACTTTAAGCAAAGTTACTAAATAAATTTTTACATATAAATACTTCACATGCCAAAATTACTTCCTTCTATAAAGAGAGAGGGAGTATTTCTTACACCATTATTTAAATCTGATAAACTTCAACACAAAATAGTTAAGGGGTTTCAAAACACATAGGAAAGAATTATTTATGTGAACTCCCACCTCTTCATTATAATTGTCATTCTAATGGCCACTACCTTTTATGATGAAAACGGAATGTACTTTTTCCACTATCTTCCATTCACAGAAAAAAAAAACAAACACACAAACCTTGCATTTATCCATTATACACAACACAAACAGTTCAAACAGGTTCAAGCAGTTAAGTTGCACTCCAATCCTCAGAATACTACAGAGACAGAACTAGCCAGAGGCAAGCATCAATTGCTCCCATCTCCCCCTTCAGCATCCCAAATTAATGCCTGGAAATAAGCTACATCGTCAGAGGTTAGTGCTACACCACCACCACACCCTGCCCCCATCCCACCCCTCAAGAATAAACCAAAACTGACAAAATTAATCACCACATATACATAAACAGATATGCAACACACCTAGAAGTAAAGGGAATTAAGCCATGCAGGACAAGAGATATGATATGGGGTGTGATTCGGGCTAAAAGGGAAACATGAGCAGGAAGCTAGGATGGACACAGAAAGAGAAGAGCACATCTGGACAAAACAGCACAAAAGAAAAAGTAAAGGAAAATACATTAAAAAAAAAAAAAGATGAAACATTGTACTTAAGGTGACAAAAACGCAGGCTTTCCTGATGCTGCTTTTCTGTTTTCTAATCACTGCAACCACCAAAAAGGTGCTTGTCTCTCATGGAACTTTCACTAAAAGGGAAAATTTTGCCCTTAATTAGGTTGACACCTGCATGATTGGTCCTAGTTTTAAGATAAAGGAAGCTTGTGGTTCAGTAAGCATCAACAAAAAGAATTCTCCACAACTCTCGGCAAGCATTTAGTCAAGTTCAACACTATGTACTTTGCAGTTATCACGAAGCATTGATGGAAAACAGGTAAAACTTAGTTTCACAAGGCTGGTATTATAAACTAGCTTGTACAGCTTGCAGTGATAAGAAGAAAAAAAAAAGCTTTTTGCTTTTTACAAGTATTATCAGAAGGAAATAAATTCTGTACTTTGTTGCGGGAGGACAAAAAAAACTCTTAGTGTACATTTAGCAATGTATCACTTTCTACTGGTTTCGGCTCACTCAAAGTACACTACAGTACCACTGCATCAGGGCTGGCCAGCGATGACTGAGAAGGTCTCAGATAACCATACGTTCTGCTCTTCTCTTAGTGGAAACTTCCCGGAACTTAACCACTACCTCAAACTTTCAAAATGAGTACTATGGTCTCAATACTTTTCTCTCATACAATGCTTCCTCAGAACAGAATTTAGGTAGAAAAGAAGGTCCACCCGAGATCTCCATGTCAATGAATTTCTTTATCACCTGAAACAAAGATCTTAGAGGTGTTGGAAAAGTTCTGCGTCAAAAGCAAGTTTCATACCACTGAACACTTGTGTCAGTGGGAATATTTGCCAAAGAAGAAGTGGCAATTATCTCTGCCCTTGGAAAGTCCTGCAGTCAAATTCTGCACCTAGAACATTCCCACTTGTGTCAGTGGGAATATTTGCCAAAGAAGTGGCAATTATCTCTGCCCTTGGAAAGTCCTGCAGTCAAATTCTGCACCTAGAATTATAACTTCTTCCTCATCCCTACAGCTGAGACCAGCAGATGAAGGGCTGCAAAAGAACCAACCCAACCTGCCTGCCCAGCAAACAACTCTTATCTACATACTCAGGAGAAGGCAGAGTTTGATTTCCTGAAGGCCATTATATGCAGCTCATAAATAAGTGGAATAAAGAGAACAAGGCTGGTTTTCTTCACTTGACACTCCCCTCCCATCATCATAGCTACTCCCAGCTCTCATGCAATTAGAAATTCTCACACACTATCAAGGGCTTTCAAGTTGTCAGGAAAGAAAATAATAAACGTGAGTAACTATAACATCTGAAAGCACTGACATAAAAGTACCGTAACTCCTAAAAATTACTTGCTGTGAATAGGTATTTCTTTGATGTTTAAGTGAATCTTTTCAAATTCCTACCTCCTGCCTTCACATTTGTAATGCAACAGCACTACATCAGGGGGAAAAAGTCAGTATACGCAGACAAAAGCTGAAATGCAATATAGCAATGCTGGTATCTGATTAGATGCACCTTCCAACCTAGATTCTTCCAATTCTGTATTACCAGGGGCATTTACTGAACGAAGAATCTGTGTTATATTTTGTCTCTTTCCCAAACGCAAGTCACCACCATTTTAAAATTGTTATGACAGAAATGCGATAGGTTAATTGACTCCTTGAATTCAACACAGATGAACTGATAATTCACAGATGAATTGATTACATATGGAGAATTTCAGAATTTTACCTCAAACCCCTTCAGTACACCATTCGACCGACAGTTGATCAGTAAACTATCTAGTTTGCATAAAACAATTTTTAACAGATTTTACAACTGATGGCTCGGCAAATAATTTTCTATTATAAAACTAGTAAGAGCCGATACTTTTCATTTTACCTCCAAAGAAGTTCTTATGAAACTATTTGGTAACAGCCTCTCAACGTGGGGCTCAACGCAGGGCTCAACGCAGGAAGCAAGTTGAATATATTAATTGGAAACACCCAAAGGAGTTGAGGTTTCAAGTTCATCACACGGTGCGTCGATGACCATCTCTCTCTACAGAAGCAACAATTATTAGGTTTTTGGTTGTTGGTTTTTTTTTAAGTGAAGGTTTCCACCAGTTTCTGAAAAGCAGAACTGAGCCATCTGCCCTGCAGATGAATATGAGGCAGCACGAGCCAAAAACCACAGGGTCAAGAATACAGTGGGGTCATTCTTGGGGTTGTTTTTTTTCCAACCACCACCTCCAGCGCTTGCTCCGCTCGCTGTCACACACTGCTGTGACAGCTAACACTGCCTAATTTTAACTTGCTGTCATTTAACACGTAGACAGAAAGGTTTGGGTTGGGGGGGGAGGATGTTGCCTCAGAAAGGGGAGTAGCTAAGAGAGGTATGGTAAGTCTTTGGGGGGAAAAGAAAAAAAATTAGGTGTGAAGCAGCAGCAGCAGGAAACCAGCTGTGGAGCGCTCCAGAGGCGCACAAGGTGCTTTCGGCACGGGAGAAGCTCCTTGAAAACACCAAACTTCCCCGCCTCAAGCACCCGGCCCGGGACGCTCCCCGGGGCCCCCCTCCTGAGGGGGACACTCCGCCGCCGCCATTACCCCCGGCCCCCCCGCGGCCGCCGGCGGCGCGGCCCTGACGGGAAGGCGCAGACCCCCGGGCGGGGGTGTCTCGCCTCAGGCCCGGCTCCTCCGCAGCGCACCGAGGCGGCCGGAGGGAAGGAGATGGCTCTCCTCAGCCCTCCCCGGGGAGCGCGGTAGCGGGCGGTCCCGCCACAGCGGAGCCCGCCGGCGCAGCTCCACCCGCCGCGGCGTTACCTAGAGCCGCGGCCCAGCCCCGCGCTGCCAGCCAGGGCACCACATCCCTCCGCAGGTCAAACTCGGCTACCAGGTGAAGCAGCATAACGCCCTCCTCTCGCCCCAACCCCGCCGGGGGACGCGAGGAGGCTGCCGGCCCAGCGCGGCCCCGGCTCCCCTCCGGTCGCCGGAGTTCCCCGCCCCGCCGCACCGGCTCCCCAGGGCCGGCCGCCGCCATGGGCCCGCCCGCTCGCGCCGCTTCGGCGTCTCATTGGGCGCGACGGGTGTCACTCAGCCAGCGGCGGCGAGGAGTGGCTGGGGGGCTGAGTGGCTCCCCCCCCCCCCCCG